CATAGATGCTCTAGATCAACCGAGGAGACAAATGTTTGACGTCGACCTACCACGTCTTTTCATCTCATCAGCAAGATTTTACACACCCTGGTAAAGGTTCCTCTCGCTCGTTTCGCTCTATGGTTTTGGGCCAAGGGTTCGGGGTTTCCGTCGTAACTACCCAGGCAGTTTTACAGGAATACAAACAACAGGTACACAGCGCGTCCTGTTCGCCAGAGTGCGAGCTGGGACGGCGTCGCCACGAGTGTTGTTTTCCTGGTCCAGTCCTTGCGCTCAGCACTTCCTCGCTTATCGATTAGTACGTTTACTACCTCTTGAGTTGGGGTATTCATCTCTGTCGTTGAAGTCTTCATACTTTCTGAATACTGGCCAAGCCATGTGGTTAGGCGATTTAGTAGTGATTTGAGTTTAAGACTTGGTAGTACTGTGATGGCTGACCACAAAATGATGACTTTTTCTTCTGAGTTGTGACGTCACCGCTTTAATTTCAAAAATCCATTAGAAAACAAAAAGCGAGGACGTTCTTGGTGCTGCTGTGATCGTCGCCTATCGCTGAAGCCATAGAGCAGTGCCTTCGTCTGGTGGCGTGCTATATGTTTAGCTCTCCTGATGGTTCGTTAGCATTCCAGGGCTGATCTCCTCTTGAGCCACCAGCTCTTACCACTCTTAGCGCTGGTGGTCCGAATGGAGATGAGCTCTGGAGTGCTAACGAATCATCCCGAGAGTGAAACGTATGGCACGCCCAGACCACCTGAAATATGGCCAGGTTTAGTAGTCTTGGACAAATTTCGAGGCTGTAGTCTGTAGGCTGTAGGAATGCACTTTCGTGATTCGACATCCTGTGCACCACAAGCCGTGTCTGGATGTGGGGCAGTGAAGAACGGTGACTGCGACTGACTAGCGCTTCGTTCCTGTCTTTCGCTCCCACATTAGCCCTCCAAATGCAATTGTCCGCCACAAACTTTGCAAATAATTCATGTGGGTTCGGCTGTTCGTTCGTTTGTTCTTTCTTCTTTTTTTTGTTAACATTACTTTGAGAATGATATTGACGTTACCATAAGATTTTGGGTTTCCACTGTTATTTGAGGTTTCCTTCGTTAAGCTTCATAATGCCGAGGTTGTCCTAAATGGCCTAATCCTGGTTTGATAAGAGCTAAGTTTTTGCTCTTCATTCATGACATTCCTGTAAGTCAAGCCGCAACTTCGAACGTATAGGTGCTTGCCATTTACTTTCGCCATTTGAAGGTAAACGAAGACTAGTAGTTACCGTTCTTCTTGGATACTTGGATGGTCCGTCTTCACTGGTTGTGCGCCCCCAACATAATTACCATTCTATCGGAGTTTTGCTGGTTTACCCATTGGTGGTTCACTGTACTCCTGCTGTCAGCCTGGCCAAAGTCTGCTCCAGGCTAACATTTTTCACATTACTGAACTCCACGAAATTCTTCGGACTCGAGTTCCGTTTCCGTATTACCAAAGTAACTGTTGCTACGTTCTTCTGGACTTTATCTTACTTATTGATTTGCTAGGATACCGTTTCCATTTCAACTTGGTCAGTCCCACAAGAATCGTTTCGTTTGTGTTTTACTGGATTCTTTGTCGAATCGCCATAAAATATTGTGGTTTAGGCCTAGGCTTAAGCGTAGCCCCAATTCCTCCCACTTAAGCCTAAGCCTAAGCCTAAACTGTTGTGGCGTAAGCCAAGTTATCTTTTGTAGATCGGAGTTTTAATACATTCCAGTATTTCCATAATCCATATCGAGTGCAGAAATCCTGGAAACACTTTATTGGCCAGGTTTTTTCTTTCCTTTTCTTTTTTTCTTTTGGTTTCTTATACATTATGTACATCATGACTGTAGAAGGCTTTGAGGACTGTGGGTTACATTTCAGTGGCAATCCGTCTAAGTTAAAAAACACGTTACTACTTCGGGAGCTTGATTCTATATCGTATACATATGTTTGATGCAATGATGATGCTCTGTTACGTGATTAAGTACGATAATCCGTCAGTTTCGTCTGCTGACATCCTTCAACACACGTGTTTAGAGCCTTGGCATCGGGTGTTTTTATTTCCGGGACATTAGCCATTGTACCCGTTTCTGGTTGCAGACGTACTGGATCGAGCGTGGCCTGCTTACGGCAGGTCCTCGGGATTTGGTGCAGATACGACGTCAACGCTGATCAATGCAAGATCTTTCGATGATTACGGATTCGGTATGGTGCCACCATCTGAACAGCTTCCAATGGCATTCCACAGCCCTGTGGATTTTCCAGTGGGCCCGGTTGGTGCACAGATTTGCACTAGTACTATGTTGTAGAAGTCCATAGAAATATCTCATGCAGTTGGTGGTTTGTCGACCACCTACCTTTTGACAAGTGTCCTCCTTTTAAATTGAAAAAAAATGCTTCAGTCTCTAAGTCGAATAGATGCACGTTTCAAGCAGGCTTATCAACATTTTATGTGCACGTCAACAGGAAGGGTAGCCTCCCTTTCTTTCGTTCTGGTGTCTTTTGAGCGTTCGTTCCTTTTTCTACGGCTTAGACCAAGCCTTACGCCATATATGGACCTTGCAGGGTTCAAATCCGTTAAGGTCTTGAATTTGGCTAAACGGGATTCCATATAATACGTTCTAGAATCGCTTTTGTCATGGTGACTACGGATCTGCTTTCAATGCTGTGCAGCCAAGATGCTCCTCGTCATATGAACAACACGAAATGGGGCCAGCGAGGGCTCCGGCACCCGCCCCAATGCGTGCCAGTGCAGAAGCGTGCAGGTATGGATATCCGGCCACGTCGGCTCGTCGACCACTTACAAGGTTGGTTATTTCCAGTAATATTTCCTTACGCTGTCGTTGAAGAATTCTTTCAAATAGTTGTGTTCACAAGCCATTTGTTTCCAAATGATTTCTACATTCACGACGTTACTACTCAAATGTCGCAAACGAATATTCTTCGGTAATTCAATTAGTCGTGCGTAACAACTGTGGTGATTGTGACGACCACTCTCTGCCCCCATTAGCGGTTTCCTTTCTATGAATACGGCGCATTGGCCAAAATATTGCAGTTTCATATAAAAGATACAAAGTATTCAATTAACAGTGTTAACTTTTTGTTTGTTGCCTATTACAATTTTCCCTTCCAGATACTCCTCCCTAGATAGAGGGCTTCCCAGATCGACCCCGTTGACGGGTGATTGCTGATGACGCTAGTAGATAGAAAAGTAGCTGAAAGATAGACGAAACTAAAAACCTCCATGGTGTGGTGGTGAACCGCGTTAACCTCCGAAAGGGTAATAGCGCGTTCGTTCCCCACCGCAAACCCTGCGGTCCGGAGTTTTGCAAATATTTGAGCATCGTTGTAGTTGTTCAGCTTACAGTTTACCAAGGTTTGAAATTACATGTAGTTCTCTTCAGGCACCACAGGTCAGTGGACACTATGGGACCTCTCGAAGTAGGAGGTGATCTAAGCACACGTGACGGATCACTAGCTGTATCAACAAATTTTCCTTCGCATCAGGTATGCCAACCTCATTTTTCTCTTCTTTCAGTTTCTATAATTATTGTGGCATTTAAGAGAATATAAACATGTCCGGTTTCCTATTTTTGAGTATTCGGAACTATTTCTTTATGTTTCACACATCATCCTGAGACATCTACTCATTTCGTTCATTTGTTTACTCATGCATCTTCGGAACTGTTAATTCACATTTAACCCCAGGTTATCCACCGTGAAACATTGCTTTTTTAGAACTTTCAAACATCTCTTACGCTTTGGCTTTTTGAAACCTCTTAGGGGCGGAGGGAGGGGCAGAAGTGTGAAATAGTTGAAACGTCCACTTTACCAAACGCGTCATAAGTTTTTGTCTACCCTCTTGACGATTCTCGGTTCGTTCTTAGGAAAACTTCCGGAGGCAGTTAAAACGCAAACAGTGAAAAAGACTCAATTCGTGATTAGTCGGAATCATTGTTCTGTGCCTTTCCAAAGTTTCTTAGCGACATCAGTAATGCTTTTAGCTGTTGTATAGTGGACATTCCAGCCTTGTCGATGTCATGCAGTAGAATTTTAATTTTAACGATTTTACAACTCTAAATTTATTTTTTAATTTATTTTTCTTTAATATAAATTATTTTAAAATTTAGCAATTTTAACTTGAGAGAAGTAGTGAAGAAAAAAGGAACAGAATCCGTTGCAGAATCCTGTGCTTCAAGATCTGTACCATGCCCCGTTGTCGAATCCGACCTCTACGAATCGCAATTTCTGGAGCGGTCTGAGCGGGTTAGTGGCTTTATGCTACCTGCTGTTTTATCTTTGAATCGTAGCACATAGTTGCTGCGAACGGCAACTTGTTTCTTTCTTTGACTATGCCCATGCCGTTCATGCCCCTCTACAGCAACGATTTTCTACCACTTCGTTGGAGCGCCGCATGTGGCGCAGTGGTCGAAGGCGCCTTGCAACACACATATGGAATCGATGCTCGCGCCCATGGCTCACCAAGCCCTATTTCCCTCCGGAGTCGTGTCGACAAATTGGTACCAGATTTGTCTGGGAGCATAGCAGCACTGGCTCGATACATCGGTAGGCCACTGCGAGTCATTGTAAAGGCCAGATATGCATCCAGTCACCTCCAACGATGGCTTAATGAAGTCGAATGCATGACGTATACCTCAAAGATTGATCAACACCGAGAGCCTTATCTTCTATTTATCGTTGGAGTAATGTGATTGTGTGCTGGAGGAATGTACTATGCGCGTCGTGTAATTAGTATGCAGAATCGATTTCTCGTCGGGCCGTTCTCAGCGAAGTGATTGTTTTATCTTCTCTGCACCTTTCTTTCCGCAGCCGGCCGCCAAGTGGTAGTGAGGAATTCTACGTTGTTGTAGTGAATGGATAACCTTTGAAAAATGTTTTTTTTTTGTCTAATTACAGTATGTACTTACTAGATATTTCTAACAAGATGTGTGTTGTGATGAAAACTGCGCAGACGTGTGGTTTTTTTTAGAATGTCGCATTACTCGGAAGGTGGTGGAGGAAGCACCGGACGACTTCATGGCTCTCTCTCACTAGCTAAGGAATATGAGCAACTCAAAGCTGATTACCAAGCAAGTATAGAGAAGCTCAATCAAACAATGAACTCCATCAAGACCTTTTGGAGCCCTGAGCTTAAGGTATTGTTTCTCCTTACTATCATTCTTAGTGAGGTCATAAAGTAATGTTTATTTTGCTCTCTATATTCTCAGAGAGAGCGTCAAATGCGGAGAGAAGCTGAGCGGTTGTTGCAAACTTCTACAGCAATCCCGCCGATTGCGCAGGATGTCGGTGAGTTCCCAGTGAATCAGATCGCTTTTATCATTTTATAACTTATGGTCAGAACATGTTTTTAGCTTATCTTAAAATAGAAATAGCATATGTTGTAAGAGAATTAAGCATTTGAATGTTTTCATGGTAGCTACCAGGTTGAGTCGAGAACGGCTGGTTTCGAGCGTCATTGTTAAGATGTCGTAATAACTAATTGATAGTCGAATTAAGAACTATTGGAATTTAAACCGTTTTCCTAACGGGACACGAATTTACTTGTTCCAGTAGCAGGTTGTAGATCTTTAGAGATCCGAGCAGTGCGCTTAGTGAGACGGAGTCATGGAATCTAATTCTTTCATTTTCTCCAGTACTGAATGTGGCATATGTGCCTTGTCGTGAAAGATGGTGATCAGCACTGGAGGCAGTTTTTGAAAGGACTCATCTCATGATGATCATTTTGTCGAAATGAGGAAGTTAGATAGAGTGTTTAGTAATTTCACGTTAGTCTTACTACTGCGTTGAACGTCTTCGGTTTTTGTATAGCATCCACAAGTGAATGAGTCGTTCTCGCTGGGCAAACTTTTAGCCCTCCTGAACCGTTTTTCATGCTTGACAAAGGTTACGACAAGTGGTAAGTGGTGACACGAAAAGTTCTAGAACGTCATAGTCGGATATTATTGATGCGTGGGCATCCATCTACTCAGCCTATGTTTATCCTTGGAGCTGTGCTCGTATTCTTACACTTGATCGTGTCGCAGGCAGACTACATATCGGCGGTCTACTTGCTCATCATTCATTTTGTGTGGTACCTATTTAGCCACGGATCTCCCTTATATGAGGGATCTCGAGCCGGTTAGTCGCGAGGCTACGTGGCGCGTCCCCAGGTGGCGGATAGGAGGTTAATCGCGGACCAAAAGCGACCGTTGCTTCCTTGAGACACAGGTCGATTTAGGGGATGCACTCCCTGTTTCTGTTGCGCTGATTTGGCACATACTTTCTGTGTTTGCTGGTCGTATTCATACATGCGTGTATGGGTGCGTTCTTGCTTATGTGGATTGTATTCTACGAGTCAATTCGGTCAAAAGTCTGCAATCAAGTGACTGGGAAGTATATGGGATGCGGCTTGGACTCGCCTTCAACAAATAAGTTCCATGTCCACTCTGGCGAGAGCCTGGCAAGCTACCCGTGAGTATACCCAGCCCACACGTTCAGAGCCCAGCAAGTTATACGTGGGTATCAAAAAGGCTAAACAGAGTTTAAAAAAGCGGACCTCATTTCCCTGACCCCGAAAGAGCCCCCAATTTCGCAGCGTTGGGTAGGACGAGTACGGAGAAACTGCTAAAATCTCAAGGCTAATGGAAGCTGCCTGGATTTCAAAGAACTATGGTGACGATCTGTACCTACAATGCACGTACACTGCCATCCGAGTCTTCGATAGAAGATTTGCTCATGCAAGCAAAAATGATAAAGTACGAAGCCATCGGCCTGGCCGAGACGAGAAAACACCAGCTTTTCAACGCCGTCTATGACACCGGAGAAGAACTGTTCCTCGGAACATGCGACAGTAGAGGAGTCGGCGGCGTCGGCGTTCTCGTCAACACGAGTTTGTCCATGAACATCGATTCATTCGAACAACTTACAACCCGAATCGGACGTTTACGATTAAGAAGACGTGGATCGATTCCGGTTCTGATAATCTTCGTCGTTTGCGCGCCAACATCAAACTATGACGAAGAAGAAGTCGAAGCGTTCTATGTGGACTTAGAGAAGTTCTACAGAGAAGACCACACATTCTTCAAGGTCATCATTGGAGATTTCAACGCCAAGATTGGACCAAGGAGAACGTTTGAAAAACGTCACATTGGGACCCACAGATTAGAATGGAACGAGCAGGGTGAGCGGCTATCTGAGTTTATCATGGCGACCAAGACAATCCATGGTAACTCGCAATTCTAGAAGCTCCACTCTCAGCGTTGGACGTGGGAGTCTCCTAATGGAGAGTACCATAACGAAATAGACCATATCATAGTAAATAGAAGGTTTTGCCTAACCGATGTCGCTTTTGTCCTAAAATTCTACACGGGATCAGACTATAGTCTTCTTCGTGTAAGATTCTATTTCTCGCGGAAAGGAGAAAAAGCCGCTAAATTCCAAAACCGAAGTCCCAGAACCACCGCAAACCGGGACTTATTCAATTCATTAGTCGTCTGTTGGGAAGATGCCGTTGTCGATAACATCGACGAAGAATACGATCGGCTCATTCAGCATCTTCACGTTAGCGCTATGAAAGATGAGAGTTCGAAATCACCATGAGACGTTTGTCTCCAGAAACACTCGAGCTGATACGCCAGCGTGGAATCGTACGAGCTGCAGACAACCACGAACTAACGTCCGAACTTTCAAAACAAGGCAGACAGGCGATAAGAGAAGATCTTAAAGAGAGAAGAGCAGCAGTAATAGTCGAAGATGCATACCGAAGCTTCGCCATTTACAAGACCAAAATGATTGCACTCCGGCGCCCAGACAGAACAGTTATAACGTTCAGAAAGGCAATGGAGAAAATCATTCACGAATACTACTCGGATCTCTTCTATAGCCACGTTCTCCTCTTATATGAAATAAAGGAGGATAGATATGTTGTACCACCGGTTCTCCCTCCCGAAATCCGACATGCTATTTCGTCGGTGAAAAATCGAACAGCACGAGGTCCAGACAGGATAAGACCAGGACACCTGATGAATTTTCCGCCAGTCTTCGTAAACACACTGGTTTGGCTCTTCACACGTTACCTGTTTGAATGCGAGGTACCTACTCAGTGGAAGACCACCAAGACCGTGTTATTGTTCAAGAAGGGTGACCTACACAATATCGGCAACTATCGCACAATCTGCTTACACTCTGTCGTCTACAAACTTTTCACTCGAGTCATCCTAAAAAGGATTGACAGAACACTAGAGGAAGGACAGCCATGTGAGCAAGCAGGGTTTCGAAGAGGATTTAGTATGATGGATCACATCCACACGGTAACACGGCTCACTGAAGTATCGCGAGAGTACAAAAGACCGCTCTGTCTCACTTTCATCGATTTACGTAAGGCCTTTCATTCACTTGAGATAGAAGCAGTCCTGGAAGCCCTTGATGGTCAAGGAGTCCCTACTCAGTACATAAAGATTCTTCGTGAGCTGTACAAAAATTTCACCACCGAGATATCACCATTCGACAACGATATTAACATTAACGTCAAGAGAGGAGTTAGGTAAGGGATACTATCTCGCCAAAATTATTTAACGCCACTCTCCAGAACGTCATGCGAACATTGGAATGGGATAATATGGGATTGGAAATCGATGTTCCGCAGTTACACTATCTTCGCTTTGCTGATGACATCGTCCCTATAGCATCAAAGAACCAAGCGGAGCGCATGCTTGACTACTTTGATAAAGCCTGTGGAAAGATTGGACTTCGACTAAATCTCAGAAAAACGATATTCATGAAGAACAGATTGGTTTAGTATGCCCCATTCACGCTCAACGGAACGAATATCTCCGAATGCTCCAGTTATATCTATTTAGGTCGGGAAATCAATATGATGAACGACCTAGCTCCAGAGCCGAACAGAAGGAAACGAGCGGCTTGGAGAACTTTCAGGAGCATCGAGAATGTAGTGAAGAGGACAAGGAACACCCGACTCCATGCCCACCTTTTCGACTCAACGGTACTTCCTACCCTAACGTATGCGATAGAAACCTGGTCGCTGCGTAAGCACTATGAAAGGCCACTCAGCGTTATCAAATACGCAGTCGAAAGGATGATGCTAGGAGTATCCGGTTTCACACAAGTAAGGGATAGGATCCGAAGCTCTGACCTGCGTCAACGATCAAAAATCAAAGATGCCGTTCTGTACGCCAAACAGTCGAAGACAAGGTGGGTCGGGTACGCAATGCGTTTGAATGACAACCGATGGACAAGAGCCGTCAGTGACTGGATTCCTCGGGATGTCAAACGTACTGCAGGAAGACCACCGACCCGATTATCAGAGTTCTTCACAAAGCCTTGAAGAAAGATATGATGCTCGACGAATCCCTAGAGCGAGCAGAACCCACTGGACTACTCTTGCACGCGACAGGGAAAAGTGAAAGATTTACTGGCGCCCGCTCGAGTCACTCGGCGATCAACGGGACTACAGGTGATACTTGTTTATCCGGCTTTCTCACGTTTCAACTTTCTTTCAGATGGCTAGCGATTATGAATTCTTGGCACGACCTCGATTGGTAGTTTTTTGAGGGTTGGCTTCGATTGTCGTTTTGAATGGTCGTTATGAACTCCTAATGAGCACCCACGGCCTTTTTCGCCAAAACTCATATATCTTTGGTTTTTCAAACAATTTACACACTTTGCATTCGGAATTGCTTTAGTAAAAAATGATATGATAGCATTTCAAGTTGCTATGCTGTTAACAGAGTTCCAGCTTTTGAAGCAAGCCTTCACGTATTTCTTTCTTTAACACCATTATTTCAGTCGAGAGAACCACTGTAAATTAAATGTTAGAAATACTGAAAACAAGTCCTAGCACTCTGTTCTACAGTAATGCGTGAAACAAGTATTTGTTAAAGAATGTATTCATAAGGTCCGAAACGGCAAACCTCCCACGGTTTATCACCTCATCGTGGCCAAGAGAGGTGTTCCTGCAGTCACTCCGGCAGGGTCTCCCATGCAGAGAAGGAGTCCGCCGTTTCCGTCAGGAAGCCCAGCTAAGAGTAAACCAATACCAGGATCCACCACCGTCGTGGTATCAAGCTAGTCGTATGGAGGCAGGTTTTCCTCTGATCCACAAGAACAGCGGCTGCATGTGTTGAGGTAGACTCTGGTTAAGCTGACTTTGGGATTCCAGAGAAGCACGATGGCTAAACCGGCAAAACTTCGAAAGAGTGGGAATTACGCTGGGGCTCGCACAACGGATGAAGATGAGCCATCCAAGTCTAAGTAAATAAGAAACAAAAAAAACAAGATCATTGTTTGTAAATATCTAGCACTTTTGCAAAATGCGTTTGAGAAATTGGTTACGATAATAGGGTCCGTTATTTTAAACCATCCTAATAGGAGAACCCAACATCTCATTGTAGGGCGTGCTAGCTTGGCCGATGTGCGAATTCGTGAACTCGAAGATACAGTGGCTCAACTGCAGGAGATGTTAAAAACTAACGAGCAGCAGATCCTGGGACAAGTTGTGAGCCCATCGGTTTTGTTCATAGTTTTTTATCATAATTGCTAGTTTAGGATCCTGCTAGTCGTATGGCTCTTGAAAATGCACTTCGCTTAGTGGATGATAAGGTTTATGTTCTTAGATGTATGACAGCTGTTGTTTTGCATTGCTTACAGGTTACATTATTCGGTCTGAGAGATAGATGAATGTTTTTCAGCAAGCCAGGATAAATGAACTGCAAGATGAATTGTCTAGATTACGTATTAGTCGAACAAACCAGCCACGAGATTTCACCGACAAAACCATTACCAGCCACGAGATGGTGTGAATGTTTCATAGAACTTGCAGTTTTATCTTACTTAATGGTTTTACGCGGTTCGAAATAATCTGTTTGTCCTTTAAGATAACGCTACGGATGAAGATGGAGCGATCAGAGGTGGAACTGAGTGAGAAGAAAGCGGAGCTTGCCCAATGTCAGGCTAGGATGAGGACTGCGGAAGAGCAAGCCGCTGATTTGCGACAGCATGTGCAATTACTTAAGCAACAGATTACCAATAGGGAACAACAGCATACTCTCATGCAAGGCGACGTAAGAATCTCTGTATTTTTCGCAATATGACTTTTCAACTATTCTCAAAGGTCGATATTTTACTGCAGTTGAAGGCAAAGTGTTTGCTTTCTTGATATAATGGGTCGTAATTCGTCATTAAATACATACTTCATTGTAATTGACGCTTTAATGCGTTTTCGTCCTGATGCGCATTCTAGAAGTTACATATCTAATGGGCATGTAATTAACCAAACTTGTCCTCGCAATGGGCGCGCATGTAACGCAGTGGCCGGAGGTGCCCTGCAGTACACAACATGGGATCGATTCCCGCGCTCCTGACCCAACAAGCCTTCCATTCCTCCGGGTTCGGCATATTGGTACCAGAGTCGTCTGGGAGAATAGCAGCACTGGCTCGATACATCGGTAGGACACCGTGAGTTATTGTGAAGGCCAGATATGCATCCAATCACCTCCAAACGATGATTTATGATATCGAATGCATGGTGTCGAGAGCTTTTAGGTTTTTCTTAAATCCTCACAATATGCTTCCAAATATCAGCTTTTGTGGTGTTTAACCTTTCCACGACCGTGCGCATTGACTTCAACACATGCTGGCGCAGATCAATTTACCACGACTCATGTTAGTACCAAAACTTTGTCTTTAAGCTTTAGTGTGAGTTTAGAAATGTGCTAAACCTTGTTAAGGACTAACTTACAGCGGCATAGTATTGATTTCATTTATGTGAAATATGTCATCAGGTTGGTCGTAAAGCTCCGCCGTTACCAGGTGTCAAGCATGGGTATGAGCGCGAATCTAAGGGTACAGGGATTGCATTGCGGTGTCAATGGATTAGAGGGATCGGTTTCTGTCTTCGCTAAAGCGATTTAGTTACGTCTTCAGTAATCATGTTTATGTGTATGCTGAATTGGTGTTTTGCGAGTCGCAATCATGTGATTGATAATTGCATGAGGGTCGAATCCGATAAACAAGCTCCGCGCTTCATCCAAATGAGCTCAGTAAGCTACGTTTAAGTATGAGCCCTACGGGAAATCCATGATTGCCACTTATGGATACTCTCTGTTCCTCTCTCTCCCTGTTCAGAACTACTAAAAGCAAGGTGCATCATAGTAAAAGTGCGAAACACTTATTTTTTATTTTGTTTATTCCTATTATTTATTTTTGTCTCTTGAGTTAACCTGCTTGTTTTGGTTGTACGGCAAATATGATTTGCTGTTATTGATGTTGGGTTGAGTTAATAATTAATTTGATGTAGATGTTACATTGTCGTGGTAATTCAAAGCGCAAGGAGAAAAGGTTAATATTGATGAAGCTGAAATAGATTATTGGTTGCTTAGGTTATTTGATTTCAGGTTGATGCCCTTAGGCAAAAGTTAGAGGGTAAGAACCAGCAAATGGAGCAAAGAGATCGGCGAATTGAGCGTTTGGAAAGTGAACTTGTTAATATTAAAGGGGAAATGGTTGAAAAGAATGAGCAGGTATGTTATATTCTTATCTGGTTTGATCTTTATGTAGAGAAAATATGAAGAAAAAATGGGCAATACCATTTCTTTCTGCGTCTTTGGTGGTTATCGAGTACTTCTTAACTTCATCTTTTCGGTTATGGGAAAATAGCTGCAACAATTCTGGGGTTACTTTAAAGTTAAATGTGCTATTTCCAAACGGTGAAGAATAAAACAGTTGTTATTTTTGCTGCATAATTTTTAACTGCCTTTTCGCGGCAGGCAGGCCCCATTTAGTTTCAGAGAAAAGCCGCAACAGAACAACAAAAAAGGGAAGTCCATCGTTTTGTGTACAAAGTCTTCAGCACCTTTTCAGCTTCAACAATCGGATCACCGAATTTCCCAAATGATAGGACGGATTGACGGCTTGGAAACATCTTTACGAGATAAGGAAGCGGAGCTCGATAGTGCAAAGGTGGCTAGAGCATTCATGTTGAAACAAGATACTAAAGATACACTTCGGTTAATTTCAAACTGCTTTTCCACACTCAGTTCACGTTTTTTAGTTTCATGTTTCCAGATCCGATTATTGAGTCATCCTGATGTGATGAAAGAGAAAGAGCTAATGGACAAGATAGAATTAAGTAAGAGTGTTACATGATTGGTAATATAATTGAGCCCACAGTTTGTTGGGTTATTGCGTATACGCTTTTCAAGTAATAGTTTTTCCAACCTACATTGAGAACTAAAGTTATGCCCTATTTTTCCGTTGGTTAGAGGGACACTGTTCAATGCACTGTAACTAAGATCAAGACCCAGAAACAAATAGGCAGAAGCTGGTTCAGCTCATTAGTTTATCATTTGGGCAGAATTTCACTATGTTAATTAGTTTCGTCAGCGATGCAATGATCAGTAGATTCATTTGTAAAATTGATCTCCCCGTTGATTGTCACTTATTTCCTGGGATTTACTAGTCTGACGTTTGATAAGCTTGCTTGGAACATGGATAAGAGTGCCAGCACTATCAATGTGCTGTTAATAAAATGTGTGTATGTTCTTCATTTACTAGTTTTGTTACAATAGGTGCTTTCTTTTGCAGTAACTTTCGAAAAGAAACGCCTCGAAGAGCACATAGATCAATTGAGACGTAGTTCTGAGACGGAAAGAATGGAGCAACAAGAAACGTATCAGGCTGAGGTATTCATAATTTGAGCAGTAACGGATAAAATTTCTAACTAGTTCCTCTTCATTTACGCAGAGCGGTCTTCCCGCGTCCATCTTACTTAGGTACTTAGATGGTCCTTGTTCACTTTTGTGCGGACCTCACCTTAATCTCCCTTTTTCGGAGATTTGTTGGTTAAGCCATTGTGGTTCCCTGCAATCCTGAGGCCAGCCTGGCCAAAATCCGTCCCAGGTCTTCACCACCACAGGCAGTCGCAGCCCTTGAGGATCAGAGGTAGATTTGCCACCATGCGACTTTGATGCCAGGACGGTGGTGGATCCTGGTATTGGTTTACTCTTAGCTAGGCTTTCTGATGGAAACGCCAGACTCAGCTCGGGAGACCCTACCGGGGGGACGAATCCTCCCGCTGTACATCGCAACCCGACATCCAAGAGCACCTACCAGCTACGATGTGGCGGTAAACCGTTTAGAGGAATGTGTCTGTAATTAAGCTATATCATGAAATAACTGAAACTAAATTGAGTGTCTTTTACGTTAGTTTAAACTGGCCTTCGTAAGAAATATTGACTACTTTTTCTTCTTCTTCCCTTCTTTTTTATTCCAGCGGGAACCGATGTACTTTCTCGACAGTGACACGAAATTCTTTCAAGCTTTCAATTTTTAGTTGCGACAACTTAGAGGCAACTTGGAAAATCTGCAGAAAGAGCTTGCTGACCGCGACGTGCTTTTAGAGTCTCAGAACGAAAAAGTTAGTGTGGCTACGATTTTTAAATTCCATAATAGCGAAATAATTGTTCGTTCCTCCAATTTCATTAGTTTTAAAGATTGGAGACATGGACCGCGAACTTGCTAGTTCACAACAACGTCTACAAGCTGTTATGATTAACAACGGGCCAGACGAACTTCGTCGAGAGGTAAGCATTTTCACCTTTTTTGTATCCATGCTCCTTGTTAAAAAATTGCAAATAACGCTGGGTTAAAACTCTCGGAGATTAATATTCTTAACAATATGGCGCACAATTTTGTTATTTGAGTACATTCACCCTAATGAGATATATCGAAAGCGCTGTCGTTATTTGCTTACTTGCTTGACCACTTGGGCGGTCCTTCTTCACCAGTTCTGCAGAACCCAGTACATTTTCCACTCATTTCTTTCCCTCGCAGTCGACCATGGTGGTGGTTTTATTCGAGCATACTGGTAGGTGCGAGATCTGATTCGTGATTCGTAAAATAACTGCAGTTGCGTGTACAACTGATTAACTTTGCTCGCGAACACGTCCGCCCAACGTGTAGGTGGCGTCCCAAGGGACGCCTGCATCCTAGTGTAATCCACTCTATAGTTCTCTTCGTCCATCTGCCGTCTGTTCTTCTCAATATGTGACCAGCCCATGGTGTTCATAATGTGACCGGCCTATCTATGTTTTGCTATCGATGTAGATTCTCCTGGATCCAGAAGATTAGACGGATTTAGAAGATAGGAACATCGCATTGCGGCTAGATATCGTGTGTGCCCGTTATGTTTCAGAAGGCATCGTTGAAGCGCCATACGAGTAGTTCGCAGTATTTTTGATGTGGTTGAAGTATCAGCCCACGTCTCTGCAGTATAACAGAGCGCTGGCAGCACCGTTGAATCGAAAAGGTGAGCGCGGATTGTCGGGTCCTTCAGTTGGTCGATGGCTTCTTAGAATAGCCCGGATATGACCCATGCTGCTCTCCTTCTGTCGAATTCCTCCGTGTCGTTCTACATGTTACTTGAACGCTCAAGGTGTATGTATAAGGTGTTCTCTGCAATCAGAGAATCATCCATTTTAATCAGATCACCTTCGCACCATCGGGTTTTTATGGACTGGGTCTCCTTCCTCTTTATGCATGGTCCGATTTTTTTTCCTGCCTTGTTGAGCTTATTGATACGATCTTATCTTCTTGCTTGAGGAACTGAGGGAATTCGGCGCAACTTTTAGGCTCTTTGACGAGCAGTTCGTAATCTTTGGTTGGGTCTTCCTTAATCTGTCAGTTACGTTTAGGTAAAATTTCGTTCAGAATGTTTTCATCATACAAAGCTACGTTTTTCTTCTTTCGTCCACTTTATGTTTTCTTATAACTGTTTTGATTGTAATTTTTAGCTATATTTGCCTATTGAAGATAGCTTTGTTCACTATTGTCATCTTTTAAAATCCACGTTCTCATGTTGTCATCAGTCGAATACCAATACAAACGAAGACGAACCGCAGTGTTTTTATGAAAATCAGCTTTTTCCAGCGATAACTTAGCTGATTATGATGTCTTCACTCAATCTTGTCGCAGGTCGAATCAGCCCGAGGTGAAGTCGAAACATTGTTGAAAATGGTGCGTCAACTGGAAAAGGAGAACGCTCAGTTGAGTTCTCAGTGTAAACAGCTGAAGAGCGCAGTTGATCGTGATGATGCCGATGTGACAAGTAGCGGAACATTAACAAAAGTAGGAGTCCATGTTTTATAGCTTCCTTATTATTCAAGTTTTATTTTTAAACCATATTTTCGGGTTCTTTATGCTATCACTGTTTTCATTACTTCAATATTCCGTCGTTTATTTTGTAGGGAGAAATTCCAACTGTGCTCCCGGGTAGTGTTCTCTCTGGAGGAATTAGTGTTCAGGCGAAGAAAAGGTATTGGTTGGGTGTTTTGTGACAGGATAGACCTATTGAGCTCCTGAGCTTTAATGAACACAGAATCGAGGAATTGGAGGAAGCATTGCGGGAATCGGTGAGCATAACTGCTGAGCGTGAAGTACACCTTTCTCAACAGAAGCATCTTCTTCATCAAGTGAATCAGCAGGTGCGTTAAAATAGTGGGCTTCTAATCATAGATTGATATAAAGATGTGGAGCTAAAAGTAAGATAAAGTAAGTCCATCGCTAAGATGATTTTTATAGGGGAATAAGGAATCAGTTAAAACGGATATAAGTGACATTCCGTCCTTGTGTAATTTTCGGTTAGATCAAAGAACTGCTTTCTACTAAGTATTTTCGCAAAAGGAACAAGCAAGGAACGTTTGTCTTCATCTTCTTAAAGCCATTTTAGAGTTATGTGGTTATTATGCATTCGAAAAACTCTAGCGCAGTAGTTAGAAGTACCGTGCAGTAATCTTGCGGTGCTTGGCTCGATTACGCGTCCCAGACAGACCAGGTCCCCTAATCTTTTTGTGCTTGATAAATTGCTAGCAGACTTGTTTGGTACTATAAAAATGCTGACTTCGTACGTTGTTGAGCCACTACAAGACCATGTATTCGACTACCTTTAGAATACCCAGTGATGTCGAGTTCACTATGCATTTATTAGGGATTTGTTAACACCGAAAGCCTCATCATTTACGCTTTGTGATTCTTCAGTTGAGTGATGCACGACGTGAGAATTCCGAGCTGAGGAAGCGAGTGGCCGAAGGTGGTTCAAGTGAACGCGAGCAGCTTATTAGAGCGTTTGAAGCAGAGCGGCGTCAACATATCGAGCAACTGCTGCAGTTGAAGTATTATTGTGTATCGTTAATCAATTCTTTTTAAAAAATATTGACTTTGCGAAAATGTCTTTCAGGCAAGAAGCCTTGCTAGCGGCTATAGCCGAGAAGGACACACATCTCGCACTTCTCGAGAAATCTCGTGCACCTCGAGAAGAAATCGACACTGTCCGCAGACACAAGGATGCTTTAATGCGCAAACTTAAGCAGGAAAATGAACGGTTCGTAGAGGTTTTCTTATAAATGAAGTTGTGTTTGAATGTGGGTGCGTGTGGCACAGTGGTCAGAGGCGCTCTGCAACACATGAGATTGATCCCCGAGCTCCTGACCCACCAAGCCTTCCATCCCTCCGGGTTCGGCAAATTGGTACCAGGCTTGTCTGGGATGGTAATAGCACTGGCTGGATACATGGGTAGGCCACTGCGAGTAATTGTAAAGGCCAGATATGCATTCAATCACCTCCAAACGATGCTTAGTGAAGTCGAATGCATGGCACATCCTTCAGGAGTTGATCAACGCCGAGAGCTTTGCCCTTTTTATATTTGAATGTATCATGCCTTTTAATCACAGCAGTTAATCTTATTTGTATATACACTTCAACAGTTAAAATATATTAAAACATATTATTTAGCCGTACAGTTGTTATTCGACCAGAAGACATAGGCAGTTTCATGCAACAGGGAGCTGGGACAGTTACTGTCGGAGGTCCTACCTCATTTGTTTCGCAGCCGAGTTCGGGTCAAGGTAAAGTCATGTTTTCTGCTGTTGTTCGTTTTTTTTACTAATTAAATTGAAGTTGTTTTCCTTCGTAGTTATCATCTGTTGTTCTGCGTCTCTAAGATACTTCGTTACCTAGATGTGTTGGCCGCGTCAGCAGAGTTGGACGACTCTGAAGGAATTTGGGCCTGAGTGTTCTCCCAGTTTTACTTTTAAAAATCACTTCGTCTTTTAGTCTTTTGTTCTGTCAGTTCTTTATAATTATTACTTAGGTGTATGAGTGTGCTGTTACACTGCCCTTATACGCTTTCCATTTTTTTGAGCCTTTTTATTCAAAGATCTGCCCTTTATTTACTTGTAACCTCGTGCTACTTAAAGCTTTGCAGTTATCGCCGTGATGTGCTACTAATATTTCCTTTAGGGTCTTTAATGCTATTGATGTCTTAAGGAGAACTTCAACACTATTGTGTCACTAGCGGTTCCTTATTTGCACTTGTTCTTTCACTTTCCTCTTTTAGCACGTACTCTTATTCTTTTCCTAGTGTGTGGGGCGTCTTTCCAAAACATTAGCACAAAATGGACGATATAATTTAACAATGAATTTGTCGTTTTCTCTCTCAGCAATCGCGAACAATAATTTAATTTAAATTCATATATAGGCGGAAATAAATTAAGCGGACTCCAAACTACTTCTGAGATTTTATCCGCTTAAATAGAACATTATAATCAATAGATATTTAGTAACATCATACTAATTAGCTCTTCATACCACAGTGAGATTTAACCTTTCTAGACCTAACTTTATACTTTATTTTGCACTTTTTTCTTCAACGATTTCGAACAGCGAAGCGGTTGTAAAGGCGCATTCTTGCCAAGCAACATACGAGAGTATCACCTAGTACAATGCTGGTGTTTGCAGTTCTCTAGCCTTGTACTAGAAATTTAAACTTTATTCGCGCTTTCCTGATTATATGATTCCTAAACAGACCCAAAAACGAAAGAACACGCGCTGTTGGGCTGAGGATATTCCTTACGAGTTCCGAACTCATGTCCTGTGTCTATGGAAGAATTATCGGCACTTGCGGAGAAGTCAGTATTGTCGTCCATTATGTGTTAATATAGTTTATCATTACGTAATGATTGTTTATTGTTACATCACATCTGAGCTATGAATAAAAATATACATCAGTGCAAGAAACACAATATCTAAGTTGGCAGCTGCTGATTTTTCGATGAACGGGTAGAAGAAATCATTTGGAAGTCGGAATTCAATGTGAGGTAACGAAACGAAACGTGAGGAAGGATCTGAAAGGAAAACGATCGCAGGAATTGTTTTCGAATTCCTCGTGCGTAGAAATGGAAAGTCAAATTTAGGCGCATGTCATGTCTCTGTTTAACTCCGACTATTCTAAGGTAAAAATTGGGCTTCCAAATGCTTCTGTATGGGTACGGCTCTTGTTTTCAGTTCCCTATAGAGAGCATGAAAGAGTTTCGCTGAATAGAACTGTAGAATAGACTTTATCGTATTGGTTCTATACCTTAGATCTAGGCTTCTAGATATAACTTACATGGTGTGACATCCTTGAATTGGATGCTGAATCGTAAAGCTATGGTGGAATTTGAGGTGATATGAACCTAAAAAGTGTGAAAAATCCTTGCTGATATATTTAGCCGCTTTTTAAAACTATTTCCCTATAATTCTGTTCACTGTTGAAACTGGATCCTAACCGCTTCAGGATGCATGTCGTAGGTGGTAGACACAATAAGCAATCGATGGTTTCCCTCAGTTCCTTGTTTTGCGTAGTAAACAGTGATCGAGAGACTGGTAACGACCAAGCAGTTCACATTTGTTGTTCTCTGTAGTTAAACTAATAAAGTCTAAGTTAAGCTCCAGGTTGTAATCATGATTTATCCCTACTTCAACTGGAGAGAGTGGAGATTGACATTACAACTCTTGAGGGTATTCACCGCTGTTTTATTTCTTGTGCTATGATAACTAACTGTACGATGTATGCCATTTTTCCCTTGATAGAAAAGGTTTTAGGAAAAATTTCGGGAGTATCTTCATGGCAGAAATGCGATCAGATTTTCACCCCCTACGCAACAAAAACATTCTAAATATCCGGCATCTATACTCTTTTAAAACCATTTTGAGCCGAAAATGCTTAACACGAGGATTGTTGCAGCCCATCAAGGAGATGTAGACCAAGACTGGTACAAACCACTACCTCTGTCTGAGTTCTGTTCCTCAGAATCACCATCGCGTCCGTAGCGTTCGTCCTGTCGTCGGGCGAATTTCGAATCCATGTAGGTACGAATTCCTCAATTAGTCGCTCGACTATTTGTTTCAGCTCACTGCACTGCGAATACCTAAACCAGACCTCCGCGTTATTCCACGACGATTTGCATTGTCCATGTTTCTATCCCGCGAAAAATTTCCCTAACTTTTCTCGTGTCCAGTGTTTCCTCCGCAGCTGAAGAACATCATTAATCCGCATTGTCTTGTGAGTAACTTTTTTTCCTATGGGAACTCCTTACATGTTGTGGTGAAACCCACTTGTTATTTGAAAGGTTATGTTAGATTACTCCTTGCACACTGAGCAAACATAAGGTTGTCATTACAATGTTTATTGCACACTAGCTAATGATTCGGCGGTGGATTAGGCCTCGTCGAGAACCTGGAGAGGTGAAGGGTTGTAGCGCAGTGAACTCATTCAGGTATTTTCATAACCCCAACAGGAAAAGGATGACTCAAAACCTGAATTAAAATAAATTCAAATGCACCTGCTGAAAGGTAAAACCGCTCGAGGTTCGCATAAAAGAACACCGAAATGGGAAACTTAAACTTAAACCAAGTACTCCACGAGGCGCGCACAGGACACAGAGACATAACGAAGAAGATTTCGAAGTAGAAGTTACCATCTTCGCAGAGGATTCTAAAACTTCAGCGTGAAAAACTCTTCAAGTGTTCTGGATAAATTCGAAGAATCCGAAAATGAACGTCAAGGAGGACCGGCTTACACTCACTTGTGATCTCACACAGTATTAAGAGAAATTTTAATGTTAGAGAGGCACATTACGCTTCCACGTGAAATCTGTGCAATTCTTCTCCACTAAATAACTGGAAGACTTACAAAGAACAATAGAGTAAGTGCTTGAAAGGAGCTGTTTACTTTGCCAATAAAATCGATGTAATCATGATAAAGGCCAGGCATGCATTCAATTATTTCCAAACGATGCGCAATGAAGTCAAATGCACGGTGCATCCCTCAGAGAATGATCAACGCCGAGTGTTTTATCTTTTTAGTTAAGTAAATCGTATAGCTCAACATCATTAGAACAGAAACACAACGACAATAATGCTGAGGTATTTGCAAAACGATGAACCGCAGGTGTCTATGGAGGGGATCAAACTCGCTATTAGTCTTTCTAGGGGTTAACGCATTCATCGCATTCATCACTACACCATGCCGGTCTTTCGTTACGCCACTCTTTCACCTGTGTTTTATAGGTGCTATCAGAGCGATCATCCATCAACAGTATTGTTGATTTGGAGTGGAGGAGGGAGCAAAAATCGGCATTGATTCCACTTAAGTTGAAGATGTATAAACCACAGTGTAGTCACTTTTTAATTACTGCCTGTTCTTTTTTCGCGGTAGGGTATGATGTGAAATATAAACACAATGGTGCTGAGATACTTGCAAAACTCCGGAGCGCTAGTGCCTATGGTGGAGATCGGACTCGGTATTGCCCTCTTCGTGGGCATGGTGTGGTGGTGAACGCGTTAGCCCCCGGAAGTAGTAACAGCGAGTTCGATCCCCACTGTGGACATCTGCAGTCCGGAGTTTCGCAAATATCTCAGCACCATTGTGGCTATATTTCACACCACACCTTACTTTGAAAAATTAATAGACAGTAATTGAAAAGTGAAAACAGAAAAACATAATTTACGAAGATCCCAAGAGGCAAACCAGGATAGACAATATACCAGAAAAGCTAAAAGTTACCGTGTTCAGGAGGATGACTATCACTGACGTGGCGCATTCATTAGTGAGATTGGGTGGGTCATTCGAGCTCCGCTCATGAGTAGGATCAAGGGTGATTCACGTGCATCTCTCAGGACATACATCATTACAGAGCTGAATTAAAAAAAATCAAATAAAGCTTAAAAGCTAGCATAGAGCGTAACAATACTTCAAAACCCGACTTTTATTTAACTTCGGCATAAGTAGTTGATAAATATTCTTTCATTGATAATCTAACACGAGGTAACGCTCTGTGCTAACTCATAATGATACCGACTAAACTAGCAGGATGGATTTTCCTGAGAAAAACAAAGGACTGTCAATGGATAGTCACTACCAACAACGACCATCCTGTATAAGAGGGCACTGCCAAGTTAAGCTACTTCTTTTTCAAGCGGTGCTCCACTGGATTCGATTCGATGCGATTACGAGGACCAATATCGGAAGGAGGAGGAACTGTGAACAATCGACTGGCATCAATCCGCCTTGAACAAAGGCGAAGTAGCCGAAACGTTAGCCGAATGACGTTTTTCTTTATCAACCTCATGTTAGCTTGGCAATGAAAGAATGCATACAGCTTAAACGCTTTCGCGTTAATCAATCACTAAAGGACGTGCAGTACATTGGAATTCATCAGAAAGTCGTCAGAGCTGATTGAATGTACATCTAGCCTATACAATGAAATGGCTGCTGTCCTCCCAAATAGGTCTAGGATGCTCGATCTGCCTTGGGCGCAGGATCGAACCAATGACAACGTACATACTGCGGCGAGGCCTTAACTATTGTACTACACTTAGCTCTTATTTCTATATCTCACAGAATAAATACCTAACAGTGATGTTACCTGTAGACTGCCTTTATGCTGTGAATACCATTTTTTAAAGCTCCTCAGTAAATCTTCTGCTAATGTCCCAGTTCTAAACGTGTGTCAGTGATGGAATGTTAATGGTTCCGAAAGCATCACCTGAGAGTACAAGCCGTTGCGGAGTTCACCATGAATTTGACTAGGAGCTGGCGGTCACTCCGACATGGACCTGACTGTGGCACCGAGAGAGGGAACGTAGTCTCGCCGTCTGTAAGGAAGTCGAGCAACGTCTGAATTATGTCTTAAACTGTGACAACTTTCAGGCTCATCGACATGTTCACTTACAGACGTTCTGCGTTAATTGCTGACCCATTTAATTTTAGGAATGCCAAATATGTGGTCAAACTGGGTTGAATAGCGCATATTTTTATCCTATCTCACCATTAATTTAGGCATTCTTCCTATCGACCGCGCTATTTCTGTTGACTTTGAGGAGGATTCTACTTAGTTTAAAAATGTTGCTGTAAAAAGATGGACTGTAAAGTTAACTTTCATTTAAACTTAAACTAAGTGACAAGTGCATCTTGCTTACCCTGCTTTATGCGTCTCTATATGCTTTTGTACAATTTTAATTTTGCAACCCGTTTAACTTACGATGAGAGTTTTCTCAGAGCTGTTAAGAACTGCTACCTAGCCAGGCCATGGATGTTCTGCACTTATGAGGACAAGGTATATGTATATGTCTTTAGGCGATTAATGGATGACAAATGTTGAATTTTTTACCCTTTGTTGCATAAATCGCATTTCCACGTTCATATCCACCACTCTCACCCATTTCCAAGTCTACAACCGCATTTTTGAAATCGATACGGAACTCTTGAATGAGATTGGTGTAGTTTTCAACAGTAACGGTAATGTAGTCAATAGAAGTAAGCTGCGCGTTCACAACGAGCGTTCCATTCAGAGTTATCTCTGCTGAAATCTGGACATTATTCAATTGACGAGAGCTGTTCTCAGATGAAGACATGTTTTAGCGATCTGATGGCAGATTAAACGCACTTTTCTGATAACGTTTTCACAACGATTTTGCCTCCATTGTGTTGAAAGAAGGCTAGAAATCCACCGGAATTCCGTTTCGACAGTCGTGTTGCCGGAACTCTGAAACGAATCAAGTCCAGGAAACAAGGTTCAGTTCCTGTTCTACAAGCCGTACCAAGCAGAATACTGCAACTAAGCTTCACAAAAAGGATTATCGGACTTCACTCTACTCCTTGTGAATTTTTCAGAATGTAAAATTTATAGCACACAGAAAGAAATGGCACTGTACTAAGTCCAACGAATGATTCTACATTGGCAGCTCACAACTGGGTGTGGGCAGTTGTTCCTCACACATACCTTATACGTACTATTCGGAAACTCGAAGACGTTCGTATGGAAATGATTGAGATTTCGGGACACCAAATTTCAGTCTGCCTCGTCGCCATTCCCAGATAACAATATCGTTATTAGAAAAATATGGCCTGCTCCATAAATAATTTCTCGCTTTCCCTCCTCAAAAAGGAAGAAAAAAGAGAGCGTAGTCTCCAAAATTCTAGCGTGTATGAATTCTGAACTCGGACAATACATCATCCCAGTTCTGGACAGTGCTTCGGGAACACTTGTTGGTGAATTTTGACTTTGAAGGTGACTGAGCAGTTTTGGATGCACAATGCCCTTAGGTTAGGTAATCGTTTTAGTCGAGCACAGATATCGGTTCGTATAGTTTCGTACATGGTGCAGATAGCACAGTGATAGTGATGTCTGTCATCAGGAGCATAGGACTAGTTCGATTCCACTCCGGGCCAACCAAGCCTCTCGTCCCTTATGAGTCAGAAAATTGGCACCGGATCTTCGTGGATGGTGGATACAAGGAACCGAATCGAATGTGAGAGTGCTGGGATCCGCACAGTAGACGTCAAGAAGGGTAATGTAAAAATGTAAAAAAATAATCACAATGTTGCTGAGATATTTGCAAAAATCTGGACCGCTTGTGTCTGCGGTGGGAACCGAACATGCTATTACCCTTTCCGGGAAAACGCGTTCTCCACCACGCCATGAGGGTCCTTCGTTTCGCCTGTCTCTCAGCCATCTTATTGATCTCATTAAAGAAAATAGTTTTGTACACTATTAATTTTTCCCGCTTCCGCGTTGTCATTGATTAAAAACTTTCGTTATTTTCATTTCTCAAAGTGATGAATGTTGAGGAAGCCGGAGAAGAAACTAATGCTCATACTAGTTAAATTAGACTTTAGCCTACCGATATCAATGGTGATTCAAGAAGTGAATGAGCTGAGAGGAAGTCGTTAGTCTGACATTCTGTCTCTGTGAATGTGGAAAGGGACGGCGAGCACACGACGGACTGCGAGACGCCGAGCACTGGAACGTTCAGAGCTTGAAGCGATTTCCCGCATTATAAACCCCGTGGGAGTATTTCAATTTATTGAAGGACGTTTACTTCAATCTTAATTTTCTGAATACTCAGGTGCTCAAAAAAATTAGATTGAACTCATATTTTAACAATCTTTGACACTTTGACATCTGGATATTGGGAAACGTGGTAGGGAAAAACTAACCCAATGGTTGAGTTCCCGTGCACTTGACATCGAGAAGTGAAAACGGGAGGAGGAATTCAGATACTTCTCCCGTTTTTCTTCTAAGCAATACAGGTAAAGGAGAAGAGCGTGAGATCTACAAAGAAGCAAAGCAATTCACGAGTGCTTCAAGATGTCTCTAAGTTAACAATTTTACACTGGACACTTTAGTAATAGAGGAAAGCAGTTATCATTTGTGAAATTAGGGAGTAACCTGTTCCTTTTGTAGGATAGGATTTTCGATGGCAAAGGATGACCATTGTTCGTTGGTTTGGATGATTGGTACACTGTCTGGGATTTCCTCTAAAAAAAGCTTGAGAGACGGAAGTATTATCAGTTTGGATTTTATGAAATTGATTCATAGTTTCATTTCAGTCGTTCCTTTACACGAAAGGCAAGGCATAGCAGATATTGGAACTGAAGCACACACTAAGACTTTTGCTAACCAGACCGATGGTATTTCTCTCTGCCGCCTGTAGGGTTCTCAGTGAAAGACCTACGTCTAGTCAATGGTGGTTGTGGCACAAATGCTTTCCTAATTATTACTTAGAGCAAGATGATTTATACAATAGACAAGCTCAAAAACCTTTTAGCGTTCCATTTATGCTACAACTTGCTTCCACAACTCCATAATCATATCATATTTCGTACCAAAAACGCTCATTTTCGTCTTAACTTTAAAAAGCACATTATACATATTAAAGGATAAATTATAAAGCTCTCGGAATTGATCAATCTCTGAGGAATGCGCCATGCATTAGACTTCATTAAGCATCGTTTGGAGGTGATTTGATGCATATCTGACTCGTGATGACCTACCGATGCATCGAGCCAGTGCTGCTATCCACCCAAACAAGATTGGTACCAATTTGCTGACCCCGGAGAGATGGTCCAGGGTCTTTGTCTTCTTGGGCCAGGGGCGCGGGGATCGATCCCATGTGAATTGCAGGGCGCCTCCGACCACTGTGCCACACGCACCCCTGTTATCATAGATGTTAACAGTCTGTAAATATCATCCTCCACCTCGTAAAGCATATTATTTATTTCTAAAAATATCACCAGTAGTCCAAACAAACTCTACACAAGAAGTGCTCTATCAGCGTTAACCATTAGGATTGCTATCCAATTTGATTCGTTACTTTCACTTTCGTCAACAGCATTCAATTTCTCTCCCTCAGCTTGTCTACTCACCTCATAGGAAACACATAGGAAGTCTACCGTTACAGATGACAAGGAAACGATGTTTATTAGTAACAAATATTCTTTAAGAAAGGCCTAGTCTCAATTCCGTACCGGTCAATTAATTCTTTCATCTCTCTGGAGAAGTGAACCCAGCAGCAGACTTGTCTAGGACAAGGTACCTCTCACTCACAAAGTTTAGTCCCTCAGCATGGCTTTCCCATTGCTCCATAGAAGGTCCACTTGACCAAAATTTAACGATATTCATAAAGAAGACCAAAAACTCTTGAAAAGCACTAAAGCCATGAAGAATTCAAAATTCACTGGAGCAAATGAAAAAAGGCGAAATCGCCAACACGTCGGCAGTCAAATTTCAGGGTCACCTACTAGCAACAACAATTCAGCCCAATAAAGAGAGTTCATAAGATTTAAATAAATTAATCCTAAATGTCGAGGTTTGTGGAGAGCCAGTCTTTCAAATTCAAATTTAAAAATTCGAATTACCAATGCATTTGCTCTTGAGAAAAAAAAGAAAAAGCAAAAAATCTGTCTGTTCTATGCGAAAAATCGTACCATTAGAATGAATGACGCAGAAGAGCTTCGTCGATGGCAAAATGGAATCGGAACGGTGGAAGAGCACAGAGCCGTAACAGTCGCGCTGATCTGGACAGACAGTTCGGACGACGACTAGTGCCAGGAAGGCGCTGACGTACATTGGTGTACGATGACTGAGAGCGGTTGCTATGGAAGGGCGCGCCTGACGACTTGAACCATCACACTATAAGCTCATCTATGAGATTTATACGATCTGCCTATGGCCATGCTCTATGTGGTGGCGTGACGAATCGGTAGAAAATCGGTTAAATTTTTGCATTGTTGTAGCAGTTTTGAAGCCGGCACGTGCTCATAGATCATAGAACCACACGAAGCAAAGGTAGAGCGGGTGGTAGACCTCAGCCGTGATTTTCACTTCATTCATCGAACAATGTTAACGACGAAGATCCCTTAATATTGCAGCTCTGATGGTATTGTGTGACTCTACTGAATTCTCTCATTCACGATGCTTTCGCTTCGATAGAACGGAATAACACATGTCGGTGTAGTAACATTGATGAAGAATCCTAATATTTTTGATAGGAAGCCATCAAATTCTTCAAATAGGTAGAGTGCTAGACAACCGCCTTCCCTCCATTGATATTCCATGTACTGTAACCCGTTAAGTAGTGAATGGAGAAGTCGTTTATATTTTCCTTCAAGTGGAGAATTTCACATTCGCCTGGATTTCGTTGTAAAAATGTAGGCATGCCGTTCACAACGAGCGCAGTTTTCGTTCGACCTCTCCCGGGCCCACCAAGCCTCTCATTCCACCTAGATCAGAAAATTGTTATCATGCTTCTCTGGATCGAACTCATCTCCTCATATGCACACAGGAACGTCCTCTTCGGTTACACCGAGACTCTAGAGAAAATCGACTCGAGCGGCATTCAACAACATTCATAAAGAAGGTAACAATCCTCAAGCAGCAACCGGATGCACACGTGCAAAGTTGAAAGAACTTCGTAGGTGATGGATGCAGGGAAACGAATGCAATGCATTAAGTGCTGGGATCCAATCAACAAATATGAAAATGGGTCATGTAACACGAAAAAACACTATGTACGAAATTTTTCACTGCATGAACAGGACATTTCGATTGCATAAACATGCGCATATGTTAATAACGACTATATCTTATCACATCTACATTTCTTGTCACCATCGTCATCCGATTTCCTAACATCTACCTTATCTGTCACTCTCGTTCAGATACTAGGACAAGGCTTGCCTCAACAGCGGATTTGTCCTAACTGCAGCCATCCACGCTGAAAGATCGCCATATCTTTAGCAACGTATGAGGCCCATCAACGAAATTACCTATGCTGCTATTTTTACATCAGTTGTAAAAGGATGAAAAAACAGAACATTAGTTGTTGATCAATCGTTTACGAATATGGTATGCGTTCGACTCCGTTAAACATCGTGAAGATGATTAAATGAATTTTCGTCTTAACAGTAACTTGTGGTGGCCAAGCGGTCCTCCCAGACAAATTTGGTCCCAATTCACTGAACCCAGAAAGATGGAAGACATAGAGAGCCCTGGACGCGAGAGCGAACCAGTGATCGATCCAGTATGCATTAGAGGGCATCTCCAACCCACTGCGCTGCATGCGCGCAATCCAAAATAAAACCTTAAACAAGTTTTAAAACTGCTGTCTTGAAAACATTTATTATTCGAGATAAAGATAACAAGAGATGGTGTGGTGGCAGCGATTTAAATATACTAAGAGCTCTTCAGTGATTGCTTGGGGCCGGAGCACACTAAGCACATTTTTCACAAGGTAATTTGTTTTCTCAGCAAGCGTTTCATTACCTCGCATTCATACGATGGAAGTGTAATTTAACTGTTTACCAAGATTCCTAACCTTCTTGATGACCGAAAATCCTTCTTCGTATGCTTATGACTCTCCAACTTTCTTCAGCATCTGAGAAAATCATTGTGATTAGGGAAAAGCTTCCTTCTAACCCGTAGAGGCTATCGAGCCCCTGGGCTAAAAGCCTAGGAATAACCTAGCGCTTTTAAAACATTCAGTCAGTGAATGAAATTAGGCTATTTTAGAGGAACGGCCTTGATGCGCTGCTGTTCCTCACTGTGAATACTGTAAGAAGTTCATGCCACCATTTCCGTCAGCATCACTTCAGACTTTTTGAGAGCGATCAGTTCAAGAGACGTGATTTATTGTTTTAATGGGAACATTCAATTTACCTCATTTCGTCTTCAGAAGCTGTCACGAGATTGTTACTAAATATCCATTCGGCTAATGTTACGACATCTTCGTCTTCTTCAGAGTCAGAACACATTAACAGATTCAGTTTACCTAAAACTATATGTAACGATAGTTAGCGCGCATTTTTGCAATCCTTCTCGAGTTTCGATCAGCAATCGACCCTCTCACCCCGTTCTTGCTTATTCGTCTTCGCTAGGCGGGACCGCACTCTCTACGACAGGTTTTCTAAACAGACAGAGACACCATTCACCACTACTAATCATCTCTGCTTATTTCGACTTCTTATTTACTGCTATCCTCTTGAAATGTCTGCTAAACCCGTCTTCGTTTTACTGATGTTGGTAGGATTAGGTGAGCTAATCAGATGAACTTCTTCTTGTGCAAAGCGTTTTAGGTTCCTTTCCAAAAATTTTTAAGAATTCATGTGTTTTCCCAAAATATTGTGCTTTACGTTGTGAATGTATATTTAACGAGAAGGACGACCGCTAAGTGACCGACGATAGGCTGACCTGTTTCGTTTGCACCGTAGGTGCCCAAACAATCTTGGAATTGCGTGCATGAGAACAGGTCTGTGAATTTCCTGTTTAAGGGAGGTCGTGCATGCGTGGATACGAAGCCGAAAGGGACAAACTCAGAGAGCACCTGGGAATCGAATGGATTCCCGGAGGACTGAAGCAGAACGGTAACTCCTTACAGTATATACAGTACAGTAGTTCATTTTCAGTAGTTCATAAAGTAGTTCATTTTATTAGGAATCTTAAGATCGCACATCATTCATCTGCTTATCAGAAAACTGTTTGTTGTGATTAATCTTGTTTTTTCAATTGTTTTCATAGTCTCCAACTTGTCACGTTTCCTATACTGAAATATTTTTTGAAATGCTTTCTCACGAATATCTGGCCATTCTTTAACAGGTAGAAAAAGAAGAGATTTATGCTTGCTTCTTCTCAGCTTAGGAGGCCCTGCTGGGGGAAGAATCCCTTGATGTACCTATACCCCGACACCCAAGAAAACATCCCCGCTACTATGAGGCGATAACGGAGATTCACAAACAGATGCCCCTTAGAAAAAAAATCGACTCACAAGTAATTCTAAGTAGGCAACATTGACAAAACAGAATTTAGTCAGGTTAGGGAATGCTCTCGTGAATACTTCATTGGGCCGGAAATGAGATACGTGTGCATAAGACTGAAACTGAGTACATTTGCCTTCAGTTAGCAATCGTGAGTCGTCAAAGAGTGAATCATCTAGTCGAAGGAGAAACTGCCAGCCGACGCAGCCCGTCCGTGAGCCGCTTCGACGGTCTCGTCTCGCACAGAAATCGTCTCCAACACCGCGCTTCGACCCCTTAACTTCCGCTATCGGCCGGTCACATGCGCCGCCCAACGCGGAAAGCGGATCGGCCGCGGATCAACGGTGAACGACCACGCGGTGTGCTGAGGCCGTTCAGTCATCATCACCACTGAGGCAAGCAAACTGTGACGAGCGGTTTCACAATTGGATCGCGACGGTGTTGAAAGATAATTCTCTCCAAGTCAGAAGGAACCCTATTGTATCGATGTCCACTAACGCCGTTTTCAAGGCATAACTTTCATTGATTGAGAAGAAGAAGAAGAAGAAGAAAATCCCGTCCTGCTAAAGAATAATATCATGGTTCATCGCTCGTCATCCAAAGGTAATTATTATGGTTTTATGATAATTGTAGACGAGGATCTATGAACATGAAATCCATTGGCGAACTCCTGTAGTATATTTTTCGACAGTATTATCTTTAACTCTTTTATTTACTGCCTTTTTCTTCTTAATGGCAGGTTATGTTTCGAATTATAACTCGTATGAAATGCTGAGATATTTGCAAAACTCCGGACCACAGGTGTATGCAGTGGAGAACGAACACGCGCTGTTGTCCTTACCGGGGAGCAGCGCACTTCACCACTACACCATCCGGGTCACCGGATGTCCGGAGTTTTGCAAATATCTCAGCATTTCATACGAGTATTATCTTTCTTTTCGTAAGCAGCTATTACAGTAAAGGTTTTTTTTTCTCTGGATTTCACTCCATCATGACCAACTTTTACTCCCACAGACAATCTCATTGAGCCAAATTATGAGCATTTAAGTAGATGTATTCGGCTTATTACATCATCCTCCAGATGGCTATTGGCAGTGTTCGTTGTCGTTCTGGAAGAATGCAAGTTGCAAGGTGGAAAAATTCCTTCCCATCCAACGCCATTGCCAACTGCTTGTGATCAAAAACTCGTGTCTGCGAGGAAAAGCACACTGGGCTGGCGCTGTGGAACTCAAGAAGAAAATGAACTGTTCATGTTGAAACAAAATTCACACCAGAACTTAACTGGCGTTATAGGAAACAGTTGCGGGAGAACGGACCAAGAGGGAAAGTGTTGAGGTCTGCACGACACATGAAGGCTGGTCATTTAAACAAAAAAGTATGCTGGTAAAGGGAAGCCTTACTTCTCAAAGGGTTGTTTTTTTTTTAATGATGTTTTACGACTAATTCAATTTATTCAGTCTAGCCAAAGCCAGCTATAACTATAATTTAACCAACTATAGGGCTAGGGGTGCGTGTGGAGCAGTGGTCGGAGACGACCTGCAACACACAAGAGGAATCGATCTCCGCGCCCATGGCTCACTAAGCCTTCCATCCTTTCGGGGTCGGCAAATTGGTACCATACTTGTCTGGGAGGATAGCAGCACTGGCTCGATATATCGGGAGGCTACCGCGAGTCATTGTAAAGGCCAGATGTGCATTCAGTCATCTCTTACGGTGCTTAGTGAATTCGAATGCATTGTGCATCCCTGGAGGGTTTGACCAATGCCGAGAGCTTTATCCTTTTCTTTATTATAAGGCTTTTTGTAGTAGATCGAATACTTAACAAATAGGATATGCTGTCAGTTTTATCAAGAAATTCCCATTCTTCACTGGCAAGGTTATTTTGTGCTGTCAGAGGTATTTTGATCTGTAATAATTTCTGGTTACCAAAGCGAAACTTCTGGTTTTGATTGATCGTTAATTTTCAGCGTATTCTGATGATAAGTTTATCCGACACTCTTGTGATTTGAACTGTAATTTCGACGACGTAAAGAAGTGCCGTTGGAAAAACATGGAAGATAAGTGGGGATTGGATTCGCTCGACTTTCACCTTTTTGAGAAAGTTGATTTCACTGAGTTTCCGGCTCTACGAGTCCTCCCTGGTCCTACAAAGATCCATCAAGGTGAGCTCTAAGTTTCTATTAAAAATGTACGTGCTTCCCTATTTAGACAACATCCACATTTGCTCTCTCATGTTCCTTCTTTTCATTCTGACCAGCTGTAAGACTTAGAGAGCTTATGATTGAATCTTATGGTCTACGTATGATAATTTTCACCCGCTAAGGTGCAGTGCTATTTATAGTTAAGCAGGCATCAACGATACCTTATTCATCTTTTTAACGCTCCACAGCCGCCCTGTGGGGATTCACTTGTTTGAGTAACTCGAGGAACGCAACAGTATTTGTACGGGATGCACTAATTTAGAGAATTTTCACAATCTAGTGTCCCTGACTTGCTCGTCGGATTCCGCAACGGGCACGCATTGTGCTCAAACGCATACTGTAGCGTTCCACCAGTGTAGACATGGTGTCTACTAGTCGATTAGCACCCGGATTTCTGATTAGTGAAGTCGTTCGGAAAACATTTTTTTGCTTATTTGTAACCGAAGAGTGCAGCTTTTCCCGACCAACGCCCACAGTGCTGAAGCCAACACCTGCTTTCTACGAGCTACCAGATGATAACAAAAGGCGTAGCAAGATAGTCCTATGTGTTAAGATAAACTAACGGGAAAAAAGCCAGACGTAAATGTGTCTTTCTGGCTGCTTCCTCAAACCATTATGACACTTACGAATACCAGTTGCTGCCAGAGTGTTAATATGTTTGGTTTTGGTTCGCACTTAAATCTTTACCTCTCATCTGGAGACGTCTGAGATTCTCCTCAACCCATGACATCAAGGTGATCGATCTATGGAGTACTCGAGCCACCAACGTCTTTTTGACAACACATATATGGTAGGGCACTTGAAAATCGTGAGAGATGAATGCTTTAATAAATGTGAAAGCTACACAGAATGAATGCCGAGAATTCAAATGAAATACAAATTTCTTCAATGAAAGTAATAAGGTTAGACCATGTTGTAGTCAATGGTTCGCGTAAAATTAGAAGGATACGCACTATTCATAAAATTTCCACGCTATTAAGCGAGTTGTTGTTTTCAGTCATATAAATTACTTTGATCAAAACATTAGAATTCCAATTTCAGGAGACAAAATGATCTTCACCGGTGACAAAAAACGGGAAGAGCAGCACGCACTCTACATTTCATCGCAGATCGGATGTCAGAACTCGACCGGAAACCTGACATTCACGTACTGTTTTGTCGGATTTTTAATGCCCGCTTAGGATTCTGTTCTACACTAAATTATTGGCCAGAGAGAATCCTTATATAGCTGGATTTTAAAGGATAGAGAGAACAAAAGCACTTTGATGTATCGAAGTCTTTTCATGCACATCACAAATTGAAGATACCACCGAGTAATCTTAAGCGCCAGCTAGTTCGTAACCGCCTATGTGACCGTCTATGTGCAACTCAAAATTGCATAATTTGCCCCAGTGGTAGAGACGGTGATTGCATGAGCTCGGGTATAGTTTATCCGATCTCCTGTAAGACGTGTGGTGACGAATACATTGGCGAAACGGGTAGACCCCTCTATGTCCGCATGAAAGAACACCTAGCCGGCAAAAATAGACCAAATACCCCGTTAGGCACGCATAGGACCCAGAGACATAACGGGGACGACTTCGAAGTATGTGTCACGATCCTCGCACGCGAATCGAGAACACAGGCGCGAAAAACCCTCGAGGCACTCTGGATTAATTCCAGAAATCCGAAAATGAACCGCAGGGAAGAATGCCTCATTATCACGCGTGATATAGGGCAGTATATAAAACTACTTTTCTGATGTGAGGGGCACATTATACTTCCACGTGATTTCTGTGCGGTTGGTCTCTACGTGACATACTTAGTGGAGACCTCATAGAAAGCGGTGAGTGTGCAAAGCTGTGTTCAAAGTGATTGAAATCTTGGTTTGGAGTTTCTTTGTTTGGTTATGGAGGCGTCTGGCCGAGTGGATTGCTATCAACTTGACCTTTCCAGGCTCTGAAGAAGGCGAAATCCGCCGAAACGTCAGCTTAATCGTGAACAAAGAATAGTAGCACCTCGCGTTTGCTCAACAAAAATACGAAGGACAAATTGAAGAGACCAACTTGTGGCGTCCCATCCAGTCGATCAGATCTAGTTTTGTTCTTCGTTGACTAGTCGACTTCCAAATGACAAGTCATGCAGGGACGGTTGGTACCCCACACAGCGATTGTGCTAGGATCGCTGATCGCATTAGTAACCACAGCAGTGTGCGTGATCGGTACCCCATACGTAAAGTAACGCCACCCTCCACCTAAGAGTTTCAACTATTTGTTAAAAAGGATAACGCTGTCGGCGTTGATCAATCCCTCAGAGATGCTCCATGTATTCGATTTCATTAAGCATCATTGTGTGGGCCTACCAAGGCGTGGGAAGAATTAATGAGCACCAGATGGAGAGTCTCACAGCACAAAGCTACAATAGTCCGTTTTCTGTCTAGTTTAAAGATTTCTGTAAAAAACTGTGTAAAAAGCAAATTTCTCATAGAAACATGTATTCACAGAGAGTGTGTAATGAGAGCTAATTTTTTTCTTAAGAAATCGGTCCCTTGGTCACCGATCGAATTGCAGATATTGGTCGTACAACAGTGCGCAAGTGGAAGTCGTGCTGTTTGAAGACCTTCCAAATAAAGGATACAAAATGCTGTACGAAAAACCTTACGTCGACTGCGGTAAGTCAGTTCCAATGGAGCTCGTTCCGAATTTAAAATTGCCACATTTACAAAAGTTTTGTGATCGATTTTGCTCGTAAAATGTTTCAAGTCCAAAAGCCTGCCTTTAGCCATGCTTAGTTTAAGAGAACTAGTTTTTATATACCATTGCTGTATAAGTGTGGTAAATAATGAAAAAAGAACGCATGCGCTTACTAACCTCACATGTCTCGTGCTGCCTTTCGAATATGGAGCGCCTGTGGCGCAGTGGTCGGAGGCGCCCTGCAATACACATGGCTTCGATCCTGGCCCAAAAAGCTCTCTATTCTCCCGGAGTCGGCAAATTGGTACCAGACATGTCTGGGAGGGTAGCAGTACTGGCACGATACATCGGTAGGCCACCGCGAATCACTGTAAAGGCCAGATGTGCACTCGATGACCTCCAACGACGCTTAATGAAGTCAAATGCCTGGCGCATCCCTCAAGGATAGCTCAACACCCAGAGCTTTATCCTTCCCATCCCTTATACCTTTCGAATGAGCTAAAACATGGCGGAATTATGGAGCAGTTTCCTACCAATTCGAGATGACGGACTAGCGAAGGAACTGTTTAGGAATGTGCGCCATTTTTCAGTGCACCTCTCCTTGTCGCGTTCCATTGTTTTGAATTCGGTAAACATTCTGCCTTCTTTGTTTGTTGATCTCTCTTCAACTATGAATTTCTCTAAAATCCCTTGAACGAGTGGCACAAAACTGGGCGTCGTTGTCGATTTTTGTTGGAGATATGCTACTAATGTTGCGTACTTTTGTCTGCCATTCAGGAACGCTGAAGCTGAACACCGAATGCCGTGCCGAGATTCCCCCACGCAAAACACCTTTCAGGTTCGTTTATTTCTTTGTTTCTTTCCAGTTTCTCTCTCAATCTTTCCTACAGTTGCACTTTTGGGTCCTTTTAGCTAAGTCTACTATAAGAAGAATCAGCAGCCGATTATCACTGCATTCTCCTTACGTTTTACAGATTGTTTTCCTGTGTTCCATACAGTTCTTCTAAATTTATTAATTTTAGTTTAAAGGACATCCTTTTACGATTACGGTAATTTCGTTTGAGATTTCTCCTCGTATATGGAATAATTAGAAATGTCTACTAAAAAGATAAGATAAATTAAATGGATAGACAACAAGTGGAACTAATTACTTTGCAGAAACTAAAGAATTCGAATAATGCGTCTGACACTATATCAAGTCACTTAAAAATTTCAGCTCAAAAAATTTTTCTACGATGACTACTACGAGAGCGCCAACTTTCAGAATTGCTTTCCGAGCTTACGACATGTCAAATCCGGAGGGTTCGTTCATTATGCTGGACAACTTCATATACACCGCCTCGCTGTGTAAAGTCGGAAGTGCGTTTCTTTATGAGATTACGGTCACCGCAACCAGATTAATTTCATCTACAACAAATGACCGACTTGCGATTTCATACAGTCAAGTGGCTGAAAGATTCTTCACATTTGCGAACGTTTTCTGGCGGATATTAGGTGATCTCGCTGTCTTCACGTTCGTAAGAAATATTACTTCTCTACAAGCTTTCCTCATCTTGTTGACATTTTGCGCAATACTTTTGGTCAAATGCTGGACATGGTAAACGAAAAGCATGCAATGTTATAATAATTTAAGAAGTGTATTAATAGTCCACAAAGCATGTAGAAAGTTATATCAAGTGGAAGTGCTCACGATGCGGGTTCAATGCAGTCTGTGAAATCCAACAGAGTTTCGAAAACAGTTCACGTTTTGGACTTGTGACAACTTTTAAGAAGAGCCAGTGAGAAAAAGTCGTCGTCGAAAATCCTAGTTTCACAATGCTGGAAGTCGATGTCTTGGATTCATGGGTCTTACTCATGTGAGAGATCGTAAAATGATTAGCGCTAATCAAAAGCGACCGTGCATTTCCTTCAAAACAAGGGTTAATATAGGAGGTGAGCTTCCTGTTGCAAATGCCACGGATCGAGCTGTATGCAGCGCAATCATATTCATTTGTATGATCTTTTGTTTGTATATTTCCCTGTATAAGGGTCGAGCCTTGTACATGGCTTGGTTCAAAGTCTGCTTACAGTTGAATGAGAAGTGCATATAGTGATCCGTGGGCGTATCCAAAAAGTAAACATAGCTCGTATGAAGTGCTGAGATACCTGCAAAACTCAGGACCACAGGTGTATGCAGTGGGGAACGAACGCGCGCTGTTGTCCTTACCGGGGAGCAGCGCACTTCACCACTACACCATCCGGGTTCTTCGCTCTGCATGTATCTCAGCTAGTTCTATCGATCTTTTTGCCATCATTCCCGCCTTAATGTATGCGTGAGCAACCTGGTGGCTGCGTAAACAGGATGAAAGATCACTCAGCATTACTGAAGGCTTGGTCGAAAGGACGATGCGATGAGTATCCCGTGTCACGCAAAAGAGAAAAGGGATCCGAAGCCCCGACCTACGTCAAAGATCAAAAATCAAGGATGCCGTTCAGTACGCCAAACAATCGAAGATATGCTGGGCCGAACACGTAGTGTGTGTGTGAATGACAACCGATGGACAAGAGCCGTTAATAAGTGGATTAGTTGGGATTTCAAACGCGCAGAAGAAAGACCACTGACCTTATGGTTAGAGTTTTCCCGAAAACTCTAGAAGAAAGATATGCTAAACGAGTCCCTAAGGCGAGCAGATCCCACTGGGCTACTCTTGCACGCAACAAGAAGAAATGGGAGATTTACCTGCGTTCGCTCGAGTCACTCGACAGTCAACGGGACAACAGGTGATTCAGGTGATTACGTTTTCACGTGATCCGACATTAAATATATCACCTTCTGTGTATCCGGAAACTACTTTTCTTCCATTAGGGGCTGTCTCAGATTACGTTGGTACCAATTTACCGATATCGAAGGGATCAGGGCTTGGTGGGATGCAACGGAATCTAGTCATTGCCTTCATAGGTTGGTCGTGCGCGTTATGAACGGTGTTGCTATCACTGCGCTACCCGTTCTCAAAGTTCTCATAATGCTTTCCCGAAATTAGTGCCTGAGGAGCATTCAAAAAGAAGTAAAAGCTCTTTATGGTATGATGCGATGCGCGAATCAGCAGTTACTCTAAGTGGATTCTAGACTGGTTCCTTCATAAATGATTATTGCAGTCGACATGGGTGATGATTTCTCATCAGTGCCACTTGAGTCAATAGCAAGTGGAAAGCCGATTCGAACCGCATCCGATTTAGATTGCAGGGACTTCTATTCATGCAGGTGGCGAGCATTCGGAAGGGCATCTAAGGTATTACCGCTTCAGTGTTCCCACAACAATTAACAGCTTTTGTTTCAGCCATGGCAAATGTCGTCGTCGATCCTTCCACTGCAGCTGATTTTCAACGCAACTGGCAGTTACATTCGACCTGAAGGTACCTACGCCTTGCTGTATATCGAGCAGGATAACAAGGTAGCCTATCTAAGTGGATTACACTTTTGTGGAAAACATACGTGAATAAGGATTTTTTAGCATCATCACAAAAGGCACAACAAAAGACTTTTTTCTCAAAATTTCAACGTCTCACTTCCATGAACGGCGATAAAACACATAGGCAAAAGAGCATAACGTTTCTAGTAGTTTAGAATGCACAGCCACAAGATGTGCGTTCGTTCCCTCTTGCAAGGCATACAATCCGAAGCCGATTAATGTACCTTATGAAATTTTCTCAAATTTTTCTGAATATCCAGGAGCCTCTTGACTATCTGCGATCGGATCCAATCAGTTGCCAGAGTCAGACTGAGAACACACTGTCATTGAGGTATTTAAAAGAGGTGGTTGGAAGCACCAGAGTTGCTGGACTAGCGCTTTAGGTTCTGGATGACGAAGGATGTTCTGCTGGAGGCGTGTGCGCTGTCACTGATGGATGAGGTGATTGAATGCCATGTGTTGCCGTCGGAAATGAGTCCGGCACCCGTTTCCACTTCGTTTACCACTGCTGCGAAGAATTTTGTGGTGAGTTATCCCGTTTCTTTTACCACATAATACAGTCACACCAAACTTTTGTAAGCGAATAGCAATTTCCTTTTCCTCATATTTATTGTGAACCTCCTATCTTTTTTAAATTAGGAGAATCGAATGGATCCAAACGGTCCAATACTCAAAACTTTAAGAAAAATGGTTCGATGTCAATGAATTCTGTGATCAACAACTAACTATACACGTTGACTCGTTGCCTAAATAGCTTCAATAAATTGCGAGAATGAGTAATTTGCTGCTATTTTTCTAAATCCCGCAGAGAGGGCGCGAGTGGCGCAGTGGTCGGAGGAGGCCCGCAACACACATGAGATCTCCGCTCCTCGGGCTCACCAAGCCTTCCAACCTCTGGGTCGACGAATTGGTACTGGGCTTGTCTGAAAGGGTAACAACACTGACTTGATATAAGGCCACCGCGAGCCATTGTAAAGGACAATATGCATTTAGTCAACTCCATCGATGATTAATGAAGTCGAATCCATGGCACATCCCTCAGGGATTGATCAACGCCGACAACTTTATTCTTTATCCTTTATATGCTGCAGAAATCACGGATGAATTTGACGCACTTGTAAGTTATTACTGAAATGAGAACAATGATTTCATCTTCTGTTTGTGGTTCCTGTAGAGCGAACGTTTGGTGCGTGCTAGAACTGCGCTTTGTTTGTAAGGCGTCGTTAGAGAGCTGATTCAAGAAGAACATTTCAGAAACAACTTTAGTTCCACCTCATTATGACTAATCAGCATGCATTCTTTTATTAGTTAGTTAGTTCGAAGTTGACAAACAGCTTTATTTGGCTAATGTTTCGACGCCTTCGTTTTCCACAGAATCGATGATCCAATTCGATGGTTCGCAGTCGTTGGTGCTCTCGATGTGATGTATTCGTCGTCGTGCCGAGTAAAATCTTTTTCAGTGGAGCACCACTCGTATGAACAGCCTCATTCGGCGATGATCTTTTATGCAGGACGGTTGCTCCTGATAGTGCGCCGTTTTCTTGTTCAGCAATCGCGAGTTTTTTATACAGCATACATTTACTTCCATAAAAGAACACTATTAGGACTATTCTTTCTACTTCTATTCAGCAAACACGAGTTGCTATTTTATTCCTTTATTCACGTACAAGCTGACGTTTCGGCGGATTTCGCCTTCCTCAGAGCCTGGAAAGGTCAAGTTGACAGAAACCTATTCGGCCAAACACCTCCATAACCAAACAGAGAAAACGCTAAACCAAGATTTCAATCACATTAAACACAGCTTTGCACACTCACCGCTTTCTATGAGTCTTCCACTAAGTATGTCGTGTGAAGACCAACCGCACAGAATTCACATGGAAGTGTAATGTGCCCCTCCCATCATCTAGTTCGTAACCGCCTATATGAGTGTCTATGTGCAACGCAAAATTACATAATTTACCCCAGTGGAAAAGACGGTGACTGCATGAGTTCGAGTACAGTCTATCTGACCTCTTGCGAAGCGTGCGGAGACGAATACATTGGCGAAACGGGCAGAACCCTCTGTGTCCGCATAAAAGAACACCTAGTCGGCAAACGTAAAGCAAATATTCCACTAGGCACGCATTGGACGCAGAGACATAACGGAAATTTTGCAGTAAGGGTTACGATCCTCGCGCAGGAATCAAGAACACAAGCGCGCAAAACTCTCGAGGCGTTCTGGATTAACTCCAGAAATCCGAAAATGGACCGCAGAGAAGAATGCCTCATTATCACGCGTGATATTGGCCAGTATATAAACCTGTTATTCTGATAGGAGGGGCACATTACGCTTCCATGTGAATTCTGTGCGGTTGGCCTTCACACGACATACTTAGTGGAAGACTCATAGAAAGCGGTGAGTGTGCAAAGCTGTGTTCAATGTGATTGAAATCTTGGTTTAGCGTTTTCTCTGTTTGCTTATGGAGGTGTTTGGCCGAATAGATTTCTGTCAACTTGACCTTTCCAGGCTCTGAGGAAGGCGAAATCCGCCGAAACGTCAGCTTGTACGTAAATAAAGAAATAAAATAGCACCTCGTGTTTGCTGAACAAAAGTAGAAAGAATTGTTCAATCAATGCCGAGGTTGATAGAAAGTCGGACGTGGGAGTTACTATTAGGACTATCCATCCTGCAAAAGTCGGTGATAAACAACAACCGTTTTCTATCAAAGAGCTCTGCCGGGTGAGGTTACCTCATTCAAGCGGTGCTCCACTAAAGAAGATTTGGCACAATAGGCGACGAAGACACCACACCGAGAGTGCAAACTGCTACGGATCATCAACTCGGATCGATCTGGCTCAGAGAAAGGCGAGGACGCCGAAATGTTGGCCGAGTAAGGCTCCTTATGAACCTCGTGATAGCTTATCAATGAAAGAATACATGTTGATGAATCAAGGATTTAGAGAGTGATCTGCTTTACCAAGCATGTTCTTCCACTAAGCACTATTTGAAAATGTGGGAATACTATCAACATAGTAAACATTTGGACATTACAACCACGATGACGCTGAATATTTGCAAAACTCCGGGCCGCAGGTGTCTGCAGTGGGGAACGAACGCGTTATTACCCTTTCTGGGAGATAACGTGTTCACCACCACACCATGCGAGCATGGTGTGATAATGAACGCGCTAGCTCCTGGAAAGAGTAAAAGCACATTCGTTTCCCATCGTAGACACGTGCGATCCGTAGTTTTGCAAATATCTCAGCATCATTGTGGTTGTATTTCGAATTATACTCTATTGTGGAAAATTATAATAGGCAACAAATAAGAAGTTGGCGTTTAGAAATTAAATCGTTCGCTTATTCCATATAATTCTTAGTTATTGAAATTAACGATTTCACTTAGCGTTTCTCATCATAAGAATGTACCCATTCCAACAACTTCGTTGGCCTCTCTTTTTTACCCTTTATTATTGCTTGTAGAGAATCCAATGTTTAAAAATGTGGGCATCCCTTCACTTAATAGGCTTGTTGCAGATTACGATAAGAGTTCGCTCGTTCAACCCAGACTTTGACTCCGTGGTGATCGTGGACGACATCTCCTACCGAGCAACTCTATGCAGCGATGCGCTGAATGTATTCGATCTTGGCGAGCACTTCGTTAGTACTCCATTGCTAAGTTTGCTGCTGAACAAGAATGTCAACTCGGCCAAGGTGATTAACCGTCCTTTCTTCAGCTCTTAACCTTTCTCACAAGCCAGTTATCATCACTTACCCTATGTCTTTCTCAATGTCGGCGCACTAATATGCTCAGTGTGGCAAGATGAAAGGAATAAATCGAAAAACAGAAAGCGGATTTCAAATATAAATGCTTGCCAGCACAGCTGCACCATCCACAGAATGCGATCGACATAATCTCACTGAAGTAGTCAATCATTATGGTAGCAAATCAAATAACCCTAAAGTTCACGATTAGTCACTTTCAGTTAAAATTCGCCAACATTTTTAGAATGTATACTTTCGTCTCCTGAAATGAAGTACGTAGCGTAGGAAGTTAAATTATATGAAAAAGGCCCACAGACGGAGATCAGTGTAAGACCTGTTCGTTCTCATATCTCCCAAACTAACCAGTATTTTTCATGTCCTCTCTTATCTCATACCACTTTGTCGCGAAGCAACATTTCGTGTCTCAAGATGACGGATAGAGCGTTAATCGTGGACGAAAAGCGAGCTTCGTTTCACTGAGATGCACGTAGATCTAGAGTATGAACTCCTTGTTTCCACCGCGCTGATTTGGCACGGACTTTCTGTACTCCAAGGACTAATTCATTCCTACGGGCGTGGATATGTTCTTGCTTATGCGAATTGTATTCCACAGGTCAGTTCCACCAAAGCGTGGCATAAGGTGAGAGGAAAGTATACGAGAGATGATTAGGAGTCGCCTCGAACAAATAAGTTCCCGTCTACTTAAGGAGAGACTGGCAAGCTACCTGTGAGTACACACAGCCCCCACGCTCAGAGCTCAGCACGCTATACGTGGGCATCAAAAAACTGGACACAATAAAATAAATGCTTCATTCCACTAAACACGAAAGAGTCCCAATAACGGCAGTGTTGGGGAGGATGAGTACGGAGAGGGTGCTAACATCTCACGGCCACTCTAGGCTACGTTAATCAAAAAGAACTAAGGTGACGATCTGTTCCTACAATGTACGCACACTTGCATGTGATTCCTCAATAGAAGATTTGATTATCCAGACAAAATGGATAAGGTATGACGTTGTCGGCCTGGCTAAGATAAGACGACACCTTCCTTTCAACGCCGTTTGTGACACTGGAGAAGAACTGTTCCTCGGAACATGAGACATTAGAGGAGCCGGCGGCATCGGCGTTCTCGTCAACACGAGTTTGACCATGAACATCGATTCATTCGAACAACTAACAACCCGAATCGGATGTTTACGATTTAAAAGATGTGGACCAATACCATCTTTGAAAATATTCGCCGTCTACGCACCGATAACAAGTTATGACAGAGAAGAAGTTGAAGTCCTTTATATGGACTTGAAGAAGTTCTGCAGAGTAGATCAATCGTTCTTTGAAGTTATCACAGCTATCTTTTTCACGAAGAATACACGCGGGAGAACGTCTGGAGGGTGTCACATCAGGAACCACGAATTGGAAAGGAACGAGCAGTGTGAACGGCTGTCTCAGTTTAAAACCACTATACATTGGGACTTATTCAGTTCATTAGTTAGCTGTTAGGAAGATTCCGTTCTCGATAACATCAAAGTGGAATGCGATCGGCTCATTCAGTATCTTCAAGTTACCGCTAAGAAAGCAGTTAGTTCGAAAGTCACCAAGAGGCGTCTGTCGCCAGAAACACTCGAGCAGATGCGCATGCATGGAATCATACGAGCTACAGGTAACTACTAATTCGCCTCCGAACCTGCAAAACAATGCAGATAATAGTGCAGACAGGTGACAAGATATGATCTCAAAGGGAGAAGAACGGCAGTTATGGTCGAAGATGCAGCGGCTGGAAAAGCATTCGCAAAGCCTACCGAATCTTCGCGAATTACGGAACTAAGGTGACTGCACCCAAATGCCCATGCGGAAGAGTCACAGCTTCCAGAAGGGCGATGGTGAAAATCATTCACGATTACTACTCGGTCCTCTTCAATAGCCACGTCCTACTGTCCTCAAATAAAGTAGAGGATGGATTTGTCGTCCCATTGGTTCTGCTCTTCGAAATCCGAAATGCTATTTCGTTGCTGAAAAGTCGAACAAAACCAGGTATGGGCACGAAAAGAGCTGAAAACCTGAAGAAATTTCCCCCAGTTGTCATCAATGCATGGACGCGGCTCTGCACACGTTAACCGTCAAACTGCAAGTTTCCTGTGCAATGGAATTCCCATTGTTCAATAAGAGTGATCTCAATGAGATCCTGTCATCATAAAGAGGTCCCAGAGAGGGAGAGAGAGAGAGAACAGGAGAGAGAGAGAGAGGGTAGAGAGAGTATAAAGAGATAGGTTTTTGCCGTCATATGAATGGGAGAAGGGATCCTATTTTCACGTCAACGATCACAAATCAAGGGCACCATTCAATGCTCCATGTCGAAGATAAAATCGGCCACTCATGTAATGCTAATAAATAATAGCCGATGGATAAAAGCCATGAGTAACTGGATTCCTCGAGATCTTAAACCTACTGCAGGAGGTTCAACGAGTCCATAGAGGGAGCAGAACCCACTGAGCTATTGTTGCACGCGGTAGCGAGAAATGGAAGACTGACTTACAGACGCCTGTTCGATTTACTGGCACTCGACAATCAACGAGGCGATAGGTGATGAAGGTGCAATTTATTTCACAGAGTTCCTTAGTGATAAATTTCGAGCTAGTTACTCGTGAAGCTGCGCAGAATTTTCTCAGCCGACGTACAAGGAAACAAACATAGATGAGAGGCTAGAAAGCGTTTGTCCTAAGATTTGGGTGGGTCCTGAGGATTGACGCTATGGCAGATTGTGTGAGTAGATTTTATCTTGCATTTCGCAACTAAGCCTGTTATCAAGTGACTGGGAACTACACAGAAGGCCATTCGTGATCTCCTCTAACAAATAAGGTCAACATGTATTCCACGGTGAACTCCAGCTAACTTTATGAATGCCCTTACATCATAACGTGGGCAATTGGCGTCCGTTCCGCGAAGAATGTTAAGAATAAATGGTTTCACACGAAAATGTGATGATGTTTGTATTCGCTGAATAAAATAATGATAGGTGCTCATAAAAAAGATGGCTTTGAGCACGAATTTTAGCTAGATTGAAAAGTTTTATAACAATGCGCAAATACAGCATCTTTTCTTGTACCAGCATAATTATCAGTCACGTTTCCAAACGCATGGCTAGCTGCATTTTCGGAACTTCGGCCACTACGAAGCAAAGGGTTGCTTCATATTTTCTTCATGACTGTGTTTATTGTTAACAGTCACTATAAGCACCCGCATGGTGTGGTAGTGAACACGTTACTTTCCGGAAAGAACAATAGCACGTTCGTTCCCACCGCAGACACCTGCGGTCCGCAGTTTTGCAAATATCTTAGCAGCATTGTGGTTATTTCACAAATAATACCCTGCCGTAAAAACCTGTAAAAGGCAGTAAATAAAAAGTCGACATTGTGGCTCACTACAAGGATTGTCTGATGGACTAAAACTTCCCAAAGAGCGCTCCATAATGACCTAATGGATTTTTCTCTAAATTCTTCGTATTCTTCGGAGCTCCACAACCTCTATGGAAGAACTGTGATACACAACTTCGAATTGTGCTGTATTTAAAACATCTTCGTCGCACATTTGCCGCTTTCTATGAGTCTTCCAATGAGTATTCCATGTGGAGACCAACTGTACAGAGCTCACATGGAAAGGTAATGAGCCATTCGTACCTTGAAACATGAATCTCAGATGTTGGGTGAGGTTGACGGGTGATTGCTAATAGCACCGATAGAGCAGAAGCATAGATGGGAGAAAAGCAAAGCTAAGGTCTCGGGTGGTGTGGTGGATAGCATATGAGCATCTCGCAAGAGTAATCGCAGGTTCAAAGCACACAATAGATTATGAGTTCTGTTCATCTCTCAGCATTCCTGTAGTTTTAGAATGCGTTGCCTTTTCAGAATTTTACACACATTAGACCTTGTGGTAAATGTGGAGTAATTGCCAGAATAGATATATGTCCATTCACTTTTATCCTCTCTCACATTGCGAATTGAAAACCAGTGTCTTGTTAGAATAAGTTTTCTCCTAGTAACGACAAATTTAGGAGCTCTCTTGCGACTTCGCTCGTCGTGCGGCCAACTGTGTGTGGGGGTCAACGGAATCGACAAGAAGCAGTGAAGAGAATGAGATTTTCGCAAATCAGTGGATGATAGGTCATGGTCCTTTAAATCAAGAGAAGCTCTACTCGCTTACCGGTTTCACTAATTTACCAGGTGACAACGTTCGTCTTCTTTTTCATAGGAACACTTCAGTGTAATTAGAACGAAAACATTTACGGCAAGTAGGCAAGGCAAAAGGCGATAATTTATACTACGCAGATGAAGCGACAGTTAAAACGTCTTTTAGTGATGCTACCTCCTCCCACGCTTCTCCTCTCTCATAATTTTTCAAAGTGTTGTTTACATTGCAAAACATTATTATTCAAAAGCAAAGACTCTTGAAAACTAGTATGATCCCTCTCAAAATCGATTCGAGTTTACATGTCATCCTCTGGGGTTATGCTATTTCTTGCTGGTTGATCTAGACGGCGAGTTCGCAGTTGCCCGAATGGAAACTGGTGGGTCGACCATGTTGCTCTCCGAGGTGATTCGATGCGCATTAGACGATGTGAGCATCCAGTTCAGTCTCTGGCTCACAGGAACTGCCAAATTACAGGTGAACTTATTGTGTTACTTCTTTTCTGTTTCAAGGTGTCGAAAGCAAATGAATCTAAATCCTTATTGTGCTCAAATCGCTCTGCGAGATGCCGACTTCCTATTCGTTCTGTCAAGGAATTTCAAGTAAGATGAAAATTTGCCTGTGCATAGCATTCTTCAACGTCGGTGAAATTGACCTTTATTTCAAATGGATCGCGATCCATCTACCACTTAAGTAGATATACATAATTCTAGGTTTGTTTGGTTGACGAGTCCACCCCTTTACTTCTGGATTGTCAACCGGCTTCGAGCGGCCCGGTCGTTGTGGATTTACCTCGCATTGAAAGACCTTTCCGCATCGCACTTCGAGCAGAGTCTCCCGATCAAGGGATGGTTATCGTTGACGACATCAGTGTACAGGCTAGTCTCCTGAGGGTATTTGGTCTACACAGCCACATTATGCTCGCTAAATTCCATTCGTAGGTATAACACATGGCAGTTGTATTCCAGGGCCATTTGTGTCCATCAGTACTGCGACAGCACTCTTCTAAGTCCTATCATCCACTGGCGGACCAACCCGACCCAAATGCGTGCCGGTTGCTTTCATGCGATTTTAAACACGGACATACCTGCCTCTACGAGTCAAGCCAAATCCAGAATAGTGCCCGTCATGAGGCTTGTTGTTGATAATTTTTCAAACGTCTCAATTCTATTTTTCTTATAATCTACATTTACAACTTTTTCAGTTGTTTTTTTCAAAAAACATGGAGTAATTGTTTGAACATTTAGCAATTATTAAATTTTTGAAGCCGTAAAATTACATACAACAAGGTTTCGTCTTTCTTCCAGATAATCCATGGATCAGCTGTGTCTCGACTCGACACCTTCCACGGTATATCGATACTGGAATCTCCGACATTTCATCTTAACACCATCTCTCGGCTACATTTCAACTACACCATGGAGGTAGGATATAGTTTATTCATCATCATTGTTTATATGACTTTACATCATATAACTCTGAATACTGACACTTCCTTCATTTGATTCCTTGCCTTGTGTTCGAAATCCATGAAGGTCTTCGGGTTTTCATATGAGCTCAACTCCTACCTGACGATTTTTCTTGTTCTCCATAAACGCTTTTGATTGCTGGAGGAGAACATTCGGTTTGATATTCTAAAATAGCTGTGCTAGCGTGGTCTCAGTACTTCACCAGTGATAATCGTCAGCGCTTTTGAATAGGAATCTGGTACTGATTTGCTGATCTCTGAAAGATGGGTGGCTTAGCTGGGCCGTTGCATCGATGAACGAGCTACTGCGTGTGTATCGTTGCAGGTCATCTTTAAACACTGCGCTTCCCGGCTAGTCTAGTTCATTATTAACCGGAATAAAATTAAAACTATGGTCCCATTATTTTATGCTAGGACCAAAGAAATATGAGGAAGAAAAGCAATCAAAATTATGTTTTGGGTCATATAAATATCAATGTCTAGTAATATTTAATAAAACATTTATCATTGCGTGAATGGGAAATTGTATCACAGGGCGAAGCCCTGCTTTTCGTCTGCAACGACAGTGCAAACAAAGAGCTGGAAAGTTGCTTCAAAGTGGAAGGACGAGAAGGAGAGGACTACATCGAGATGCTGCCCAGTGATACGAAGGTAAATTGTCTTCGATGTGATCCATTCTGAACATTAAAACTCGACAATGAACACACAACCTCTATGACCACCGACTGGATTGTCTATATGGAGCCGAGCAGCACTATTAAACGCCTTTTTACACAACTATGTGAGCGCTGTTTTCCTTTTCTAGAGCGAAAGCAACTATCCGAAACAAGCTATTGTTCTCACAGTGGTGAACTCATGAAACTGCAACGTTAAGACACTCGTTTTACTCGACGCTGTTATAGAAGTAGTACTCCTACTTTTTTTATTTTCATTTCTATATGACCCATCTTCACATCTACTGTGCAGATCCCAGTACTTCTCACATTCAATTCGTTTCCTCCCATCCATTATCCACGAAGATCTTCTAACGTTTACGTATGGATTCGGCTACTGCTTGAAGATTTTCACTTCATCTTAAATGTCGTAGAGTGCTAGCCGAGCCGATTCTGCCTGGAGTCTTGAGAGAGCCGGGTTGGAGCGTTCCAGTTGCATTGCAGAGAGTCATTTTTTTTCCAAACAAGTCCGGTACCAATTTCTTAACCCCATAGTGATGAGAGGCTTGGTTGGTCCTGAGCGGAATCGAACTAGCAGCATGCTCGTGATGACCGACATAACTACCACTGTGCTATCAGCCCCAACATATTAGTGTTATTTAATTCCATTAGCAGGCATAAACCGTCGCCTTCTTATAAACCGAATATGAAAGCAATCCGTTGAGTGCTTAACAGAAAATTCACCCACAACTCGACACCGGATTGAGCTACTTATGGAACCTTTCCGAGCTAGTTGAATGGATTGCAGTTGCGTATCTATCGTACCATAGCTAGTTTATTGTTGTGACAAATTCTTTCTTTCTTTGAATTACGACTTCTACGAAAGTAAATCAAAATCTGCATGGAATCAGCCGCTGGGGTGACCTGGAGAATTTTTGTTCCTCCTGTGAGAATCCTGACCATTTGAAACACATAACGATTTCTGCAAAAGAAAAGCATTAACTATACACCATATGACTGAACAATCACCACGATTTTTGTTATCTACGAGCTCTGTCAAATTTTAAGTGTAGTATACCATTTTTCGACGTTGCAGCTCAAATCCATAAAGCACTAATGGAGTTATTCAATAATGATTTGGTCACTTAAATGTGCTACGTCAGCTGTATCACCAGTCTTCACGTTCATCGTCGAGTGACTCGAGCGGGAGCCAATCTTTCATCTAGGGTTTTCGTGAAAAACTCTGGCCATCGCCTCGGTGGTCTTCCCGCAGTACATTTGACATCCCGAGGAATTCAGTCACTAGCGGCTCTTGTTCATCGGTTGTCGTTCATACGAATTACGTGTCCGAACCATCTTATCTTGGACAATTTTGCGTGCAAAACGACACCTTTGATTTTTGATCGTTGACGCAAGTCGGAGCTTCGGATTCCTTCTTTTATTTTCGTGAAACGGGATACACCTAGCTTCATCCCTTCGACTGCGCGTTCAATAACGCTGAGTGATCTTTCATCCTGCTTATGCAGTGACCAGGTTTCTGATGCGCATACATTAAAACAAGAAGAATCTTGGAGTCGTGGGCATGGTATCGGTGTTCTTCGTTCTCTTCACTACATCCTCGATATTCTTCAATGCTCCTAAATCTGCCCGCTTCCTCCTGTTCAACTCTGGAGCAAAGTTGTTGTTCATCAAGTTGAGTTCCAGGCTTACATGGACGCAGTTGGAGCATTCGAAGATCTTCACGCTGATGAACGTGAATGGGACATGTAAAATCAATCCGTTCCTCATGAACATCGTTTTTAAGATTTACTCGAAAACCATTTTTTCCACAGGCATTATCAAAGTTGGCAAGGACTTGTTCCATCTGGTTAATGCTCAGTGTTATAAGAACGATATCATCAGCAAGGCAAAGATAGTGTAATTGACGACCATCGATTTCAACTCCCATGTTCTTCCATTCCAGTGCTCGCATGACGTTCTCAAAGGTACCAGTGAATATGTTTGGTGAGGTAGTACCGCTTTACCTAAAGTCTATTTTGACGTCGATATCTATCGCTACATAATGGTGATCCTTTGGTTGCAAAATTGTTATACAACGCAGGAAGAATCTTTGTATAATGAGTAGGGACACCCTAATTCTTTGGGCTTCCATGACTACATCTACTTCAACTGAGTCAAAGACTTCCCTTAAATCGACGAAAGTGGGAGAGAGCGGCCTTTTGTACTCTCGCTGTACTTCGATGAGTCTTGTTATCGTGTGGATGCAGTCCATCGTGCTGAATCTTTTTCGAAATCTTGCTTGATTGCACGGCTGTTCTTCATCCAGTGTTTCGGATTTCGAAAGGGAAAACCGATGGTGAGGGATATATCCATTTCCTTTTATCTCTTATGAGGGCAGAAGGACGTGGCTATTGAGGACATCTGAGAAGTATTTGTGAATGATTTTCTCTATTGCCTTTCTGGAAGCCTGTGATTATTTCGTCTGGTAAATGCAACCAACGTGGTTTCGTAATTGGCAAAGTTTCGGTGCGCTTTGCGAATGCTTTTCCCAGTATATGCAGTTTCGTCTATAACTGAATAGCTTACTGTTGTTCCCAGGGTAGACGAGGAGTTTATTTGTTGGAGACGACATATAGCCACCTCCCACGTCCTTCCCAGTCACTTGATTGAAGGGTTTCGGCCGAATTCACTCATAGAACAGAATCGGCATAAACCAGAACACATCCACGCACGCATGCATGAATACGTCTTCGTAAAGACAAAAGGTATGCGTCATATCGAAGCAGAGAAACAAGGCTACATCCCCTGGATCCAGTTGCGTCTCAGGGAAGCATAAGACCGCTTTTGGTTTGCGGCTGACCTCCTATTCACACCTTGAGAACGATCTTGCCTATTAACCGGCACGAAATCCGTTTACGAGGGAGACCCGTGGGTAGATGTGTTATAGTGGAAAAAATGTTGATGAACCATTTCTATTCAATTCCTTTTCTTTGCCTTTTTTCGTAAAACATGGGTAACACAGCATGATAACTTTGAAGATGACAATGGAACTTCTTATACGCTTCTCTTTTATGTGTGGTTTCACGTACCTTCAGCGCTTTTTGTCCTTCAGCATCCTTTTACAACGCTTCTTAACAATAATTATTGATAGCTGTTTCTGCGTAATTGTCGCAATTAACTCTAAAATGGGTAATCAATATTTTGAATTGGTTACTAAACTAATACATGATAGAATGGTGTCTCCCATTGTAAGGATTGGTTCAGCGAGAATGAAAATGAAGGTTACCAAAAAAAGAAGACAAAAAGTTTTGCAGAATTAGTGCAAAGCTGTTCAATCCAGCAGTCGTGGTGACTAAGGAATAACTTTCCTATTGCGATAGGATCACCCCTAAGATTGTTTCGTTGACTCCTCGTTTAATATACTAATATATATAAACGTTTGCCGACTAGGTGTTCTTTTATGCGGACACACAGGGTTCTGCCCGTTTCGCCAATGTATTCGTCTCCGCACGCTTCGCAAGAGGTCAGATAGACTGTACTCGAACTCATGCAGTCACCGTCTTTACCACTGGGGTAAATTATGCAATTTTGCGTTGCACATAGACACTCATATAGGCGGTTACGAACTAGCTGGCGCCTAGGATGACTCGGTTGCATTTCAACTACGTTTACCGAATTCTCTAGACCCGCCTTTCTTAAGCAGCGTTTTATAGCTGCACTTACATCATTTGAGATGAAAGGTAGGATAAACGGAACCTTTTTGTCGCTAGAGTTGTCGTTTGGGGGTTCAGCTGTTAACCGAAAGGTTTTTGGCTCAAGCCCACGCGGGAGCGGAACGCTTTAACGATATTAGACAATTTGCATCACCTTTTCCCTATCAGAAAATGGCTACATTACGAAGTGGTACCGAAAGCCAATTAGTAAAAACATTCTGGTACATTACCTCTCTTCTCACCCCTCTCAAACGAAAAGAGCCCTTGTAAGAAACATGTTTCGAACAGCAACCAACGTGTGCACGGGAACAGAGCAGAGGGAGGAGTCCCGGAACTTGGCGCGGCAAATAGCCATTTCCAATGGCTACGAAACTGTTGCCCGGGATAGGTGTAGAGGAAATCGGAGGCCCCCAAACGACAACTCTAGCGACAAAAAGGTCCCGTTTATCCTACCGTTCATCTCAAATGATGTAAGTGCAGCTATAAAACGCTGCTTAAGAAGAGCGGGTCTAGGGAATCCGGTAAACATAGTTGAAATGCCACCGAGTAATCTTAGGCGCCAGCTAGTTCGTAACCGCCTATATAACCGTCTATGTGCAACGCTAAATTGCATATGTATTCTTTCTTGATAAGCTTGCACGAGGTTGATAAATATATTTATTTTCGGCTAACGTTTCCACGTCTTCGTCTTCCTCAGAGCTGGTGATCCGAGTCGATGGTCCATGCTTATTGTTCGCCTCGACGTTGCGTCTTCGCCTTCGCGTCGAGCCAGATCTTCCTCAGTGAGCCATCTTCTCGAATGAGGCATCCTCACTCAGTGATGCCCTTTTATACACGATGCTGATGGTGGATATATAATGACAATGTCCGGTGGTAACAACTTGTATTTCTTCCGGACATACATCATTGCGCACATCGTGCAGAGGTCGGTGTATCATCAGCTAGCACAAAGCGTAGTAATATTTCGAAACCGACCTTCCCTAAACCTCGGTGTGACTAATCAATATGTATTCTTTCTTGATAAGCTTGTACGAGGTTGATAAATATATTTATTTTCGGCTAACGTTTCGACGTCTTCGTCTTCCTCAGAGCCGGTGATCCGAGTCGATGGTCCATGCTTGTTGTTCGCCTCGACGTTGCGTCTTCGCCTTCCTGTCGAGCCAGATCTTCCTCAGTGAGCCATCTTCTCGAATGAGGCATCCTCACTCAGTGATGCCCTTTTATACACGATGCTGATGGTGGATATATAATGACAATGTCCGGTGGTAACAACTTGTATTTCTTCCGGACATACATCATTGCGCACATCGTGCAGAGGTCGGTGTATCATCAGCTAGCACAAAGCGTNCCTAAACCTCGGTGTGACTAATCAATATGTATTCTTTCTTGATAAGCTTGTACGAGGTTGATAAATATATTTATTTTCGGCTAACGTTTCGACGTCTTCGTCTTCCTCAGAGCCGGTGATCCGAGTCGATGGTCCATGCTTGTTGTTCGCCTCGACGTTGCGTCTTCGCCTTCCTGTCGAGCCAGATCTTCCTCAGTGAGCCATCTTCTCGAATGAGGCATCCTCACTCAGTGATGCCCTTTTATACACGATGCTGATGGTGGATATATAATGACAATGTCCGGTGGTAACAACTTGTATTTCTTCCGGACATACATCATTGCGCACATCGTGCAGAGGTCGGTGTATCATCAGCTAGCACAAAGCGTAGTAATATTTCGAAACCGACCTTCCCTAAACCTCGGTGTGACTAATCAATATGTATTCTTTCTTGATAAGCTTGTACGAGGTTGATAAATATATTTATTTTCGGCTAACGTTTCGACGTCTTCGTCTTCCTCAGAGCCGGTGATCCGAGTCGATGGTCCATGCTTGTTGTTCGCCTCGACGTTGCGTCTTCGCCTTCCTGTCGAGCCAGATCTTCCTCATCGCCATCTTCTCGAATGAGATGATCCGAGCTAAATTGCATAGTTTGCCCCAGTGGTAAAGACGGTGACTGCATGAGCTCGGGTATGGGTTATGTGATCTCCTGTAAAACGTGCGGAGACGAATACATTGGCGAAACGGGTAGATCCCTCTGTGTCCGCATAAAAGAACACCTAGCCGGAAAACATAAGCCAAATACCCCGCTAGGCACGCATAGGACCCAGAGACATAACAGGGAAGACTTTGAAGTACGTGTCACGATCCTCGCACAGGAATCAAGAACACAAGCGCGCGAAACTCTCGAGGCGTTCTGGATCAATTCCAGAAATCCGAAAATGAACCGCAGAGAAGAATGCCTCATTATCACGCGTGATATTGGCCAGTAGATAAACCTGTTATTCTGGTGGGAGGGGCACATTACGCTTCCATGTGAATTCTGTGCGGTTGGCCTTCACACGACATACTCAGTGGAGGACTCATGGAAAGCGGTGAGTGTGCAAAGCTGTGTTCAATGTGATTGAAATCTTGGTCAAGTATTTTCTCGGTTTGGTTATGGAGGTGTTTGGCCGAATGGATTGCTATCAAGTTGACCCTTCCAGGCTCTGAGGAAGGCGAAATCCGCCGAAACGTCAGCTTGTACGTAAATAAAGAAATAATATAGCACCTCGTGCTTGCTGAACAGAAGTAGAAAGATATATTAAATTAATGCCGAGGTTAATAGAAGGTCGGACTTGGGAGTTACTTTTCATTTACTCCCTACTCCTTTTTAATGGCAAAGTATTATGTGAAATGTAACCATAATGATGCTGAGATATAACTCGTATATAATGCTGAGATATTTGCAAAACTCCGGACCGCAGGTGTATGCGGTGGGGAACGAACACGCTATTACCCTTTTCGAGGGCTAACGCGTTCACCACCACACCACACGAGTCCTTTGTTCCACCTTTTTCTCTTTCTCTCAGCCGTGTTATTACCTATGGGGTGTTTGCTGGTAGGCCCTTTAGGTCAAGAACACGGATGAAAGAAAGGCGAAACGGACTCACATAGTGTGGTGGTGAACTCGTTAGCCACCGGAAAGGGTAATGACATGTTCGATCCCCACTGCCAACACCAGCGTACCGGAGTTTTGCAAATACCTTTGCATCGTTATGCTAACTGTATAAATGTAAAGTATTCGTCCGTTTAATTCACTTTTGCAGAGATTACACTTATTAAAAAGCTCCTATAGCTTTACAAGCTTTTTCTTGGTTAGCTTGTGACAACACGTATATAGTCGTAGAACGAACTACAATTCTACCAAATTTTCAATGTACTTCGCAGTGCGATGTTTTGTTGCCTCTCGACATCCCTTATAGAGAACATTCTTCACGAATATTGGAATGTTCTCTATGTAAATCAATTATAACATTTCAAATGCTTCTCCCATGACCTTTTCTCCACTACGATCTGATAACCCTTCCAAACATTTCAAATGCTTCTCCCATGACCTTTCTCCACTACGATCTGATAACCCTTCCAAACTTTTCAAATGCTTCTCCCATGACCTTTTCTCTATGACGATCTGATAGCCGTATGTCTAACATTTCGCTGGCGCCTATCTCGTAAAATATCCCTAGCATTTTAGTTTGATGACTTTCTCTATTAGAATGTCGGCTGCTAAGATATCCGCACACTGTGTCGAACTGGATGAGACAATCAATTTTCAGTTCTAGTGGACGGCTGGGATAAAATTTTCTGGATTGTTCCATGACCTACAACAGCATTCTTCGTGATTTGGACTGGATTTCGTTGTCTTAGCATTGAAAGTGAAAGCATCAGCAACATGAAAATACTCGACATTTTCGGACACCTATAGTCAGATCCCTGATTTTCCGAAGTCGTTGAACAATTTTTCTTGCATATCAATTCGATTAACAGACAAACACTTCATAGGTGACCTTGGTCACATGTCACGTTGCTTTAATCAGTTCCTCCATTTGTCGTCCTGCAACCGTCGCCAGTACATGCGATCAGGTTCGGGTGCCAATTCGCTAGGTGATGTACTGATTTCTCTCCTCATTACCGTGGTCACTACTTCTCAAACGCTGCAAATCCAATATAGCCGGGCCAAAGTGTTCCGACATCACAAGGAGCTTTCAACCTTTGTGGATCAGAAGAAAAATTTGCTGCCTTATGACCCGAATACTCTTACGATAACACCGATTCCTATCAGTATAGAAAATCTGTGATTGCTCAATCCATCGTTCGATAAGCGTGTAAAAAGACGAATTCTTCTGTACACACCAAATGCAAAAGTATAAAGCGAAAAAAGTCCTCGGCGTTGACCTCGCTCAGACATGCATCATGCATTCGACTTCATTATCGTTGGAGGTGAGTGAATGCATATCTGGCCTTTACAATGACTCACGGTGACCTACCAATGCATCAAGCCAGTCCTGTTATCCTGCCAGCCAAGTCTGGTGCTAATTCGCCGACCCCGGAGGGATGGAGTTTGCTGAGCCATGTGCGCTAAAATCGCTTCCATGTGTATTGCACAGCGTCTCCTGCCGCTGCGCCACGCCAAATGTACCAAACGCGGCCCATTCATCACCAAACGCCAAATGCAAATGTATAGGCACGTAAAATATCTGAAAAGTGTGAAACCTCTAGATTTCCAGGTATACCTCATTGCAAAACTTGCCGAACGATCGAACAACTCAGTCCCGCTGTCCGGACGTCTTACGTTGCACCGACTTCAATTGACGGATACGCTAGATATTAACGCATGTTGAATTTTATTTATGCGTTGTACTCATAGTTTTAGTTTATGAGACCTGTGAATCCAAACAGCAGCTCTTAAATCAACACACAGTGTCATTTCTGTAGGTTTCAGAGGACTATGTCTTCTCAATTCCACTCCCAAGCAATTACACACATATCAGAACAGCTGTAAAAATTTACTCGTACTAATCACTAAGTGCAAATAGAAGAAAACACAGATGCTTCCCTATATTCCATTTATAAGCATTAAAGAAAAGATAATAAATAAATTTAATATCATAGACTACAACACTTCATAACCGACAGTGAACATAACATAAAAAGAAGAGAAAACAAGCAGAACAAAGACATCACGACAGCATTTCGAAAGTCTACCCAGTCTCTGTTCTCAAGCACGAAGCTACACATTTCATAAATTCACTTCAGCTGAATGGTAAGTGCACAAGGATAAAGTACATTGCATATAATGAGCTGTAACAGTATAAAGAAAAAAAAAAACGGAGAAATGTTATCAAAGAAAATTCGTTAAACAATTCAAATTAGTGGCTCTATGCAAAAATGTAACGAATGTAGGGAACCTCAACGTCTTCATCGGTGTTCCGATCAGTTGCCATTACTTCCAAAACCAATGATTTCTGATACTCCGGCACTGTACGCTTCGACACATCTTCCACTACTTCCTTTACACTATAAGAAATGGTGATTTGACAAAATTATTCATGTTATATACATGTGAAAATTCTTTAATAGACTATGTATCAATTTCGATAAATGGAAAATACGGTGGCATTCCGCACCTTCACAGCGACATTTCCTAGCCTTATAAAGAAATTGCTCATGAAACAACTTGGTTCTCCACTCCGTAATGCTCAGCGTTTCGCTGTTAACGTAATTCAGCGTACATACAGATTCCAAAAGTACGAATAATAGCGTTTAGAGACCGTGCTTTTACCGTTATTCTCGTTGCCTTTACTTATAGATCTGCCTACTGAACCAGTGAAATAATAACAGAGAACATGAAGAAATTTTAAAAAAATAACCCAGCAACATTTAGTGCTAAATGAGAATAAGAATGAACCGTTGCATCCACACCTCTATAAAAGACTTGCATAGAACACTTCTAGCCCAACACTTATACTTATTCCACGGCTACTTCATACTCCACAAACTGATAGAATGGTGATCAAATAGAAAGAAATAATATTAAGCCATTCTTCATTGCTAACTTTCCTTCCTGGACATTCATTTCAGCGCGTCTTACCTACAGAAAACGAAACTTTCATGTCTATAGGAAAGAAACGAACTCCATAGGCATTCGATGAGCACGTTTCTTCGCGTCCATAAAAAATGAATAGATCAATGAAACACCGGAAGACAACATGGTCACTTCAAGACCTGTTTCGCCCTGAAACAAAAGAATATTCCTGTTAGCTTTTTTCGTGTATGAACTTCCATTCTCTATCTGCTACATACAAACTTTTCTAGAAATGGCTTTGTTTATAGATAAAAAACCACAAACGTTTAAGGAGAAGAGTGAACATTGGTGGACTAGCCAAAAAAGGAAGCCTTAGGAAAAATTTTTTACCTGAATCCAGTCTACGGCCTCTTGTAAAGTCTTCGGGCCTTTTATATCTAATCGGTCCCATAAAGTGAAAGTAGAATTATTGTACTGCAACGATAATTTTAAAACCTGCTAGGTCAGCTTTCTAAGAAAAGGTTAAAACCTTTTTCACTGGTGCAGGAATAGGTTCAGAGAACCCGAAGAAGGGTAGAGATAGATTGATGAAGCCGTTCTTGAAGGAAGAAATCGGTGTCTTTGTTTCTTCTTTACAACCTACTATCTGGAATAAACACATGTTGTGCTATAAAGGTGAGAACTCAACATTATCGCAACTTGACAGGAACTGTAACAATAAATTGCAGTTCACTTTGTATAATTCTGTACAAACTAGGCCAGCAATGGTCGCCGTGGTTGTTGCTATGGCAGGAATAATGCGCCCAGCAATTTGTTTGGTCTGCAATTAGAAAAATCCAATATAGCCAACCATTTCGCAAAAGTGCCGTTTAAACGTGTACCTTCATCCGATCTGCTGGTTGGATCGAATAGTTCTCAGCTCGTAGATTGGAAGCTGCCGTAATGAACTCCATATGATGATTGGTGTCATCATCCTAAACAAAATTCAATAAAAGGAAAGTAAGAAAAGCGAATATGTAATAATTCGTGCACAAACAGTAGTGCTGGACGATGACCAACCTTCTCAAAATCAATCGGGCTTAGTTTATGAATAGATTTGGTGTTGAGACGAGCAAGTTTCACTTTAAGCTGTTCCAGCATCGCATCAGCGTTAGCTAAATTGGTGAGTTAAATCTGAAAACTGTGAAAAAAAAATACAACCACAACGATGCTGAGATAATCGCAACACTTGGACCTAGGGTCAGATCGGACCACGAGCTCTTTCCGGGACTTGCGCATTACACAATGCACCACTGAGGCTACTGCTTCTCGTTTCTCTCTCAGCTAGTTTTCTACCTAACGCTGCCATCAGCAATCACCCGTCTGCGGAATTGAAATGGAAAGCACAAATCGGCACTGAACTCAGTTAGGCTGAGGCTTTAGTCGAAATGACAATGTTAACCTTTTGTTTGTAAAAAGAAAATAAAATAATACAGGGCAAATAAAAGGTCAACACTGCGATTTCGACTATAGCCTCGACTTAACTGTGTTCAATGCCGAGTTGTGCTCTCCAAATGAATTCCGCTGACAGGTGACTGCTGATGGCAGCGTTAGCTAGAAAATTAGCTGAGAGAAACGCAGACAATGGGCCTCCCTGGCGCAGTGTGCAATGCGCAAGCCGCCGGAAAGGATAGTCGTGGTTCGATCTGGCCCTGGGTCCAAGTGTTGCGAGTATCTCAGCAACGTAGTGGTTGTATTTCACATCACACCCTGCCATGAAAATTATTTTAGGCAGAAAATAAAAAGTTAACGTTCTGGAATCTGTAATATTGAGCTGGAAAGAAAAACAAACATTCACCATCTTCCACCTCCGCGTTCTCTTTCGCTTCAGCTTCAGTTACCGCTATCTTAACTCCAGCACGTGGTTTAAATGGAGGCGGTTGCACGGAACACGCAGTCTGCAACAAAAAAGTGATTTGGTTGGTAGCTAAGGCAAACAAGGCCACCTCCAGGCAGATGCTCAGCTATAAAAGATGTCCTAAAAGATAACACAACTCACTGTCACGAGAACGATGAATAAACTTAAAACTAAAAAGCGTCAAGCATCCATTCAAAATGTTTCTTAGTAAAAAGGTCATTTCTGGTATCAGCTTCAACAAAGTTTTAACTTTTTACATACTGCCTATTCTTTTTTCTTGATAGGGTATGATATGAAGCGGAACCACAAGAATGTTGAGCTATGCGTAGAACTTAGAACCACAGTTAGGTAGCGAATTCGCGATTACCCTTTTTGGCTGCTCACATGCTACCCACCATAGCAACCAAGGCTCTTGTTTTGTCTTTCTCTCAGCCACATTTTCACTCTATCGGTGCTATAAGCAACCTGAGGTTGCGAGTTGTGCTCACACCTCATCAATACAGTGGTTCCACTTCAACAAAATTAAAGAAATTATGAACTTCGTGTACTACTACACAGAAAATGTAAACCGTAAACATAAACGTATACCTGCATGACGTACTCAACATCGAGAAGCGGTTCCAGACCATACATTTCAGCACGGAGAATTGATGCTGCGTAAACGAAATTTCGATGTTCCTCCTTCATTTAAAAGAACGAGTAATAAGGAAACTGAATACCAAAGCGATAGTAAGCTTTCTATAATCCTAAGCAGAATGATCAGATGAGACGTTTACCTGTGATGGATCAAAATGGAGTACGTGCGGACATCGTTTCGTTCCAGACCAAAACTTTGCTCCTTGATCAGTTACTTGGTGTGGTGGGAAGGAATGCAGCATTTGCGCGATGTTGTCATGATAATGTTCCTAAAAAATAACTATTACAAAATAAACGGATGAAATTTGTAATATAAGTGACTAAAAAGAACCTGGAATAGCATACGAGCCCATTTCACACAGTCTTCAGCATTCGACGGCTTACTATCAATAAGTGAATCTTTCACCTTAAAAGCTAAGTTAGCCAGAACGAAAAACATTTACACCTTCCCATTACTGTAACATCATGAACAATTTATTATTCTTCAGTAACTAGTGGAAAAATATGAGAATATGAGAGCACTGACCTGTCCTAGAAGTTGCATTCTTTGGTTCACGTTAATTTGCTCTAAACGCTCCAAGAACGCACGTTCATCAGAAAGAAATTGATTCGCAGTTTCTGCGGGTACAGTAAACAGACCTACCAAGAAAAAAATTTTCTATTGGACGGGACATGTGTTTAATACGTTTACACAAATAAACTTTCCTCATATATAAAAATTGCTACTGAAATCTATCACAAATACTGTTGCGCTATATGTTAGAACACTAGTTCTGGAATACCTTGCCTCTTTATAACCGCCCGCCATTTAAGGACAGTCACTCCAGAAAGAAAACAACAGGAAATGGCGTACAAAAAATAAGCAGCTCTTGCCTTCAAACAAATCTCGCGCCCATTGTATTGTATGCTGGATTTCATTTGGGAAATTCTTAAGAGTGCAAATCGGAATGTCTTTCTCTGGAGGATCAACGGAAGACCTAAAAATCAAATCATATACATTATAAAGTATCCATTCAAATGACTTATTGCACCTAGTACTACTGGGTACATTGAAGCATAAGACAGTTATTCAATACGAAATCTCAGATTGTTCAATATCGCGATTATGGGAACTCTTTTATGTAACATAATTTACAAGTAGTAATATTCTACAAATATTTTGGGCATTTTCTGCCCGATACAGACCATACTGGAGACAAAAATGGACCAACAGCCGCCCTGTATAAATGAGCACTGCCGAGTGAAGTTTGCCATTCATGGGGTGCTCTGTCAACTTCCTTCTCTTATCGGTATCGGCTGATCTCTTCACATCCAGATTCCGTGAAAAACCCACAAAAAGTTACCAATTCTGTTTTATCAGTCACCTTTATCGTCATTATCAGCATGACGGTCCTTTCCAACTAATCCACTTTCCGCAATGTGCGACAGATGGCACTACTGACCCCTCATGCTCATCGTCTTCGTCTCGTTCTTGTTCACTCTTGATGAGGATTTAATCAAAAAATGAAGTCCAGTTCGCTATTAACTGATGTATATATATATATATATATGTGTATACATATATATATATATATATATATATATATATATATAT